AAGTCTTTATAAAAGTTTTAATAAATAGAAAAAAGATATTAAAATAAAAGTTTAAGCTTTTCTTTAAATTTTATTAGTTTTAGTATTTATATTAAATTAAATAAAATACTTAACGTACATGCATAGTGAGTCGGCCATCATAGTGAGTCGGCCACTTCCTTATCGTATATAAAACCCCTAGTTTTCAACTATTTTTTAAAAATCTATTTTAAGCTTAAAATAGACTAGGTTTTAACTATTAGTATTCAATAAGAGTTATATTATAAGAAATAATACTATAGAAATTATTACTCTAGCCTTATAATACCTTATACCTAGATCTCTTATCTAGAAGCTAGATAAGCTAGCTTACATAAGGTAGTATAATAACTAAGGTAGGAATTTCTATAGTATTATTTCTTATAATATAACTCTTATCGAATACTAATAGTTAAAACCTAGTCTATTTTAAGCTTAAAATAGATTTTTAAAAAATAGTTGAAAACTAGGGGTTTTATATACAATAAGGAAGTAGCCAACTCACTATGATAGCCGACTTACTATGCATGTACGTTAAGTTAACTTTAAATAAACTAACTTTATTCCTTTTAACCTAAAAGTAGTTATTTCTTATTTAGATTTTAAGCTAAAAACGCTAATACTATTTAACTTATACTTAAGTAGCTAAAGCTCTTAGGACCTAAAAACACTAATTATAGTATATAACGCTATATAAAGCTTTATATTACTTTAAAAAAAAATTTACTAGTTATTAATATAACTTATTAATTTATTTATATAAAGTACTTAACTTATAAGCTAAAAGTATTAATAAATTAATATATAAATTAGCTTTTATTAAAGCTAAGTACTATAAGCTTTATATAATAAATAAAATATTAAATAAATATTAAAGAGCTAAAAAAACCTAACTATATCTTAAAGGGTCCTTTAATATAGCTAAAGTAAAAGTAATTTAAGTAAAAAAAAAGGTTATTAATACTAAAAGTAAAAATATATATTAAAAAAAGGCTTATATAAAGAAAAGTAAATTATATAATTAATAATATAATAATTATAGAAAGACTAAATATAATATATAAATATGTTAAGTAGTATAAAAGACCTCTAAAAAAGAAGATAATAAGTAGTTTTAATTGATTTTACATAATACTACTTAATTAACTTATATAAATAGCTGGAGGGTAGGTAGAGGTGGGCCACTTGCTATGATAGGCCACTTGCTATGCATATACGTTAACGTACTCGCATAGCGAGTGGGCCAACATAGCGAGCGGGCTACTCCTTATTGCTAGAAAAACCCCCTTTTTTAACTATTTATTAAAAATCTACTTCTTATCTAAAATAGATATAACTTTGTATAAAGGCTTGGATAAGGGTTATTAAGTAAAATAAAATCTACTAGAAATTATTACTATACTTTAACCCCTAGATCTTTAGAAATTCTCTTATCTAGAGGCCTAAATAAGAGATACTAGGGTTAGAGAGAGATAATATTTTCTATACTATTATTTACTAGAATTTAACTCTTATCGTTATATAACACTAAAAACTAGGTCTTTTTTAGTTAGGAATCCGCTTTTTAATAAATAGTTAAAAAAGGGGGTTTTTCTAGCGATAAGGAGTGGCCCGCTCGCTATGTTGGCCCACTCGCTATGCGAGTACGTTATATCTTAAAATACTATTATTATATACCTTAGTTAAGTATTAACCTATTAAGCTAAAATAAAACAAGAAAACTTAATTTAACTTCTTTTTCTAGGATATAAAGGTATTTTTAATAATCATAATTAATAAAAACCATTTTTATAAAAGAAAACTCAAAGATAAACTATATTAATTATTAATTATTAGGCTATAATAAGCTCTTAAATATTATTCTATATATATAAATTCTTTCTTCTTCTTACATATTATATTATATATCTAAGTATTACTAGTACAATAGCATAGTAGCAATTACAAGCCACCAGTATGTTAACTTGTTATAACACGATAAATATGATGCGTTGTTAGTACTACTAGGAGTAGGCGAAGTGGTAGCGAGGGCCTCGGCGGTAGCAGTTGCCATGACTGACGTTGAAGTCGCAGTACTGGTGGTGGTGGCTAACGCTGTCGACGTGGTTGTGGATGTCTTGTCCTCCGGGTCGCCCTGTCTTACGATTTTCAACATGTAGTTACTAGCTTCGAAATGCATGTCGCCTGCGGCGTGTTTGATTTCGGTGCCCAGCTCGAGCTGTCCCAGCCAGAGGGCGCCGGATAGCATACCCTTTTTCCAGATATACTGAAGCAAGGGACCGTAGTCGGCGTCGGTTTTGGTAAGGTTGGTGCGGGCAAGCCAGGAGAAGACATGCTGTCCACCATCGTTCCAGCCGTGGTACAGCGAGAACGGCGTGCCGTCAATGGTAACGGTATCCTTATCGGGGGTGGACTCGGCCCAGCCCAAAGGCTTTACAGTCGGGGTCCACCAAGGCCAGATCATGATCTCTATGGGAGCGCCGACCATGGTTGAGTTGTCTCGATCGTCGGACAAGAACATGTCAACGGCGACGTTGGCGTAGAGGGAGACATCATCAAATGCCTTTGCCTGCTCGTCGGCGCTAGCCTTTTCCTTGCCAGTGACAAAGGTCTGCCAGTTCCCCGTGACCTGCAGTTGGGTAACATTCCAAAGCTGAACAGGTAGTCTGGTGGGATGGGCCTTCATGTACGGGTATCCCTTAACGAGAGATGCGTCACCGGTCCATTTGTAGGCGACGCTGAAGCTCCGGCCGCCGTCATGGACAGAGAGACACTGGTATCCAGAGCTGTCGTTACCCCAGGCATTGTTGTTGACTGAGCGAGCGTCAGCACTGATGTTCAAAGAGCGCAGGGCCTGACATCAGCAGCATCGAATTTTGGCAGTGAGGCAACGCACATGAATAGGGAACCTCTGTCGAGTTCCACCAGTCAGATTGACCGCAAAGATTGATATCGCCCGTATCTGCAACTACTGGGCCAATGAACAGAAAAGTAGCCAAAATGACTGAAATGGTGAAGCGTAGCGAGAATGCCATGATTCAATTAGGCGCGTGATGGAAGGGAGGCTAGACAGAACAGTGGGCGTGTCGCGCAAGTAACGAATGGCGGTGGTGAAAGGTCACCAGAATACAAACAGACACAAAACGAGCGATGCACAGAGGCCAATCTCAGCCTTCCATGGTATTTCCTTATTGTCCAGGAAAAGGAAGAAAAAGGAAGAGGAGGAGGAGGGATAGGAGGGGAAGTTGACGGAGCGTAGGAGGACCCTCCAAGAGCGGATGAGTGTGAGGTGAGTGGGTAAGTGAGAGAGATAGAGATTAATAGTTATCAAAAAAAAAAATTGTGGTGGGAGGGACGAACTGTGCTTACCTGCACTCGAAGCACCTGTGTAAGATGAGACAAAACCACCAACAACCAGCCTAACAACGCCTTCGCCCAGACTCTACTATGGATGGACAACCCGCATGTTCCAGTAAGGGAACTACTGCAACACCATTATCGCCTTGCCATTGCCACTATGCCAGCGCTCGGGCCTATGGAATCCATTTCCCCAAACAAACAAACTAGCTCGGCCCACCAACGCAACCAAGGAAACCTGCCGAGCAAAAATGGTTGGTAGGCCTTGTCGAAAATGCGCAGCCACCCAGCCTAAGAACGGAGTACGAGCCCCAAAACTTGGAAACAAGAAGGAGCCCCTGTTGTAATTAGCGGTATCCAGTGGCTGACCTCGGCCTGTGGACCTGATCTCCTTCCGCTATCTCGATGGGGAGCCCGACTGGTGGTTGGCTTCGACCCCCTTCTCAGACCAATGCAGTCAACCCCACGCTTTCGACTTCCATCGTTCTGTTGTCCACGGCCTCGTGTTTGCTGTTGGGGGACCGACTGTGGTCCATATAATAATGGTGTCTTCCGACTCGTGGAAGCAATTATGGCAAAGAGAACATGATGAAGAACGGAGGCGGCATCGGCTAGTCTCGCCAGGATACGAGCTTACGCGGAAGATGACAGAAGCCACTCGATCCACCAGGAGCCGCGTGTAACCTAGGCCCCTAGAGAGCCATCGCAATGCGGTCGCCTACCATTTACCCCCAACCCCCATCTGTGGCAACATTGCGTGCCATTTCTTGAATGGTTAAGCGTCTCGTTTCTGGCCGTCCAGCCGTCTTTGTTTATAGCAAGACGTTGATGTTAATATCTTGCCTTCTCATTTGAGTACAAAACACAAACACCCCTGGTCACAACACCAAGCCTGGATAATATATGGACTTCGGTCAGCAACACGGCTTTAGAGTTCTACGGTAAGCCAGCCGGCCATCTGTAACTCCTAAGAGCGGGAAGGCTGCTAATGACTAACGCCCACCAGATCACATCTAGCATAGCGGCGGTAACTCGAGTCGAACTCTGACAAGTGCCAGCACTGGCTGGCATGTTCTGAGATTCTGGTCATTCCAGGCCAGTAAGGAAGTAGTAGTATTCATAATGAGATGTTGTGATTGGACTCACAAGCCGTACTGATCGCAGAATTCATTACAGTTCATACAATGGTATACAAGTCTAATACCAGATTCGACAACACATCTAACTTACTAGTGAGCTTTTGTAATATGCTGCGGTTTAGACAACGTAGTGTCGCCTACCACGACCGCAAACCCACTGCCATCGCAGTGAGCTTGTCAGATGTGGACATCCCTAGGCTGCCCAACTGTTCCGTTTAACTGTTTGAGATTAGGGCTGGTGGTTGTTTTCGAGAGTCGAGAATTGTCAGCACAAGTCATAAATCGGAGGTAGAAAGTCTGTTGGTATCAGCCGAGTGACCGGTTCTCGAGGGTAGTGGCAACGCTCATCACAACGAAAAAAGAACCAGACGTATTTGGCTTGAACTACCTGGGTGCTCAATCCTGGCTCAGCACGTGCTTGCCCAAGTTATAATACATACAGCTTGCCGAGTCTATCCCTGCCAACGCCGGCAATAACAAAAGAGATTATGAGCTGCCCTTTTGCAAACGCTCAGCCTCAAGCTCCCTCTCAGCCTGCTGATAATATTTGGCTGTATCGACGCCATGCTGGTTGTGGTTGACAAAGTTAAACCAGGGCACGACACCCATAAACAGGGCCGAATATCTCGACTGCCGCGCCGCGACACCCTGCATGTGGGGTGTAAGCCTGCTTTCTCCGTAGAGCGGCTCACCAGCCTTGACCTTGGCCACCATCTCCTTCATATCCATCTCAACCTCGCGTGCGTTTTCCGTGGCTCCGTAGAATCGTACTGTCAATCATTGGGTTAGCACTTTGCGCAACACGCACCCTCCACCTATGCCACTGGATGTAGGTATCCCTTACAGCTCGAGCGCTGATAGAAGTAGAGGAAGCCTCCGGCCAAACCAACGGCACCAGCCAGTCGCATGGCCTGTGCCATACCTCCCTTGCCGACATGGGAAGGAGCGAATTTCTCGAGGGTGAGAAGAGCGGCCGGACCAAAGGCGGCAGCTACGGCTCCGTGAAGGTAGTCCGAAGGTCGGGCGTAGCCAACAACTCTCTTGAAGTGGCTGTAGGTGTTGACCGTTAGCAATTGGTTCGATTAATGAAGGCTACGGAAAGGCGGATCAAGCATACGGATCGTTATCTATGAGCTTTACGTAGAGAATTGTTAGCCAGAGCCTGCCCTTCCAAAGAACATATGCCACAACGGGGAGGACAGACTGGATAGTCGCTCTTGACGACCTTAGTCGGAGCGTAAGACTGGACTTGTGCGGTAGCCATTGTAGCGGACGGCAATTCGTGGCCCAATTGCGTCAATGATAGTCGGGAGCTGTGAGCTTTCGACGTTCGAGATGGACGTTGAATTGGATATGGATGGATGCTGATTGGGACTGAGCTACAAAAATACCTGAGGCATCAAGCGAAAAGAAACGCACGAGCCATTTCCATGTGGCTTTGTCTGCGCTACATTCCTCGAAGTGTGGCTTTGACTTCTGTGCCCCACCGACGCGTGCATGGGCTTAATTGAAGGAAGCGCGCATTCAGGTGACATACCGCGTCGCGTTTTTAAGTACTTCCATCTCTTTTACCAGGGGAACCGAATTGCAATTCCAACAGTCTTTCAGTTATGTCACAGCGCAACAGTGAGGCTCCTGTAATGAGCTCGAGAACAGCCCCTCAATATGACGATCTCGACAATTACAATGTCGAAGACCTCGACGACCCTTTCCAGTCTCCACCACCACCTGAGGCGAAAGACAGCAGCAGCACAAACAAGAGAAAGAAGGCGGAAGCTTTAGGACTCGACGAAGAGGTCGAGATAGCAAAACGAGTAAGAGTGCCGCGAGTGAAGTTGGACGAGGCTCTGTGAGTTGCTCGTTCTTCCTGTCCACACAAAGTCCCCAGACTGACTGTTCAATCAGATTGTTGTCCGAGAACGGGATCCCAAAGCTTAGAAAACGCGCTGCGAACCTTAAATTCAAGGGCAAGGGGCATGAAGTAAGGTCAAAATCAGCATTGGACGCCCATAAGATACTGATCTGTTTGCTCCCAGTTCTTCGATGCAGCTCGTCTTCTGTCGTTCTACCAGCTCTGGCTCGACGACCTCTTCCCGAAAGCGAAATTCCTCGACGCCCTGGCCATGGTCGAAAAGGCTGGTCATAAAAAGCAAATCGCGCTTAAGCGAATGGACTGGATAAACGAGGGCAAACCCAAGCCTTGGGAGGCAGATGAGGACAGGACGGAGGAAAATGCCGAGCCGACGGCTCAGAAGGACATGACTTTATTAGTGCCCGCCGAAGGTACAGGTCCAGAACAACAGCGACCGAAAACACCGGAAGGAGGTGACGTGCCAGACGAAGATGATATATATGGGGCAACACTTCTGGCGCCTGTCAGAAGCCAGGACAAGGAACGATCGAGGCGGCGCACCGAAGAACCAGAGGACGATGATCTCGACGCGTTGATGGCCGAGGCGGATGCTGCAACCCAGGCACAGGCACAGCTTCGGCAGAAACCTGCTGCAAAGCCTGCCGCTGAGGATTTCGCAGACGAGGAAGCAGCCATGGCTGAGATGGATGGGTTATGGTAACGAAAGGTTACCCATGAAAGCGTTTATAATGTTACTTGGGAGGCGCATGGGTGGTAACGGCGTTGATCCAGGCGTAAATTGGACAGGAGTGATGCGTGTAGCGAGTGATGTACAACGATGGCCGCATGAGTCTGCAGAGTAACACCTGGTTATCTTGTCATAGGAAATTCTCTTTAATGACCCCCACATGGCTTCCAACTTACTGACAGCCCTTGCAACTGAATACTAGCTTCATGTAGAGGAACAATAAAACAACAAACCGGCTGGGTATTGTCTAGCTTCTTGCATCACTTTTGGTACCTGCTGGGGTAGCGAGCAGCGAACCGCTTCCATGTCTCGACAACAAACGTTCACCGTTTACGCTCACCGTTTAGCAAGTAGCTCCGCGCCCCAATGTCATCCTCAATGTCATTACGCGGGCGTTTGCGAGCCCATCCACGCCCCACATCAACATTCCAACAAAGGATATCACAAATCTCAGATATAAGCTAGGCCAGCTTGTAGAGAAGCACCTTCAGCCGCCGTAACGTTATGGTCATTGGTCGCAAAGCAACTATTCATTCAAGATATAATGTTACACATAAGGTTATGCCTCTGTTCTCACTGGGCATCACCTTTACGCCGTGATACACCGTTTTCCTGTATGCCCTAATCATGCCAATTGAAAACGCTTCCCAGATCCGTTTGTATCCGCCTCTCCTCGCTTCCTCTTGGAAGCCACAGTCAACACAAAATTTTTGGCCGGCGTCAAGATGCTGTCTGCCGGGTTGGGGGAGGGAATATCATTTAGAAGTAGACCCCTACGAATCATCTTCCGCTCTTCAACTCTAAGAGCCCATAGTAGTGTCAAGAGAACCTCTTTAGACGGCAACGGTGTACCAGTCAGCCACCTTTGTGGCTGACGGTCGCTGTCGCGCTGCGCCGAAGATTCGGTGGACAATCCCCCAACCCGGTCATCGCATCCCTCAGACACCAACCGCAATGCCTCCATCGTCGCATCCATAAGTGGACGCGCCAGAGTGGGGCTGCAGGTTAGGATTCTCTGAAGAGACTTGAGTCTCAGAGTTGGTAAGATCGCGGCCGAATTCCGGGTCCGCTGCGACGGCTGTGCCGTTGACTTCGTCATGGAGGAACTCATTGATGTCGAACGGGTCCTGGAAGAAGGTGGAAGAGTCACCAGCCAAATAATCGTGTTCGTAATCGAGGGAGTTGGGGGAAGAGAGAATCCCGCTCTCAAGGACATAGCGATCTGCGTCAAGGGCCGCTGACATACTGAAAGGATCACCGCTGAAGTGACTAACAGCGTCTGAAGCTGCAGATAGAATGCCAAGGTCGGATGCAGAGGGGTTTGAGAGGCCAGCCATGATTGCGGAAGCTCCTCCGACAGATGACACTGCAGGTCGCACAACATCGCTGCAGGACGTTGTGTCAGGTCGGAGGTAGACTTCGCAATAGAGGTCTCGGCCGTTTGCTGCTCCTCGATACTAACCTCGTTGCTCTCGGGGATAGGCGAGAGCTCGGGGGACAGTGATGCGGGATTGACAGTGGCATTGGATTGAGTCGAAGTCATCAAGTCGTCGACAAGGGACTTAGTCTCGTCCATGGAAGGGCGGTGACCATCCTGGGAGCTGAAGAGCTCCTGGGACAAGGTGACCGAGTTGGTATGAAGAGGATCAAGTGGGGATGAAGAACGGGTCAACATGCCCGAATCACGACGAAACTTGTTAAGTTCCTCGACCAGAAGCTGGTTTGCCTTGGTGACGTTCTGAAGAGCTGACTCAAGTTCCTTGTTGCGTCGCTCTAGTGCCTCAACCTCCAAACGCTTGCGTTCACGAGATGACTGGGCAGCGCGGCGGTTGCGTAAGACACGCTCCACACGACGTTGCTCCTTCTCGTCTTCAGTCTTTGCGCGTTTTCTGGAAATCGTTAGGTTTGGTGGATAATGGCCGATAGAAGCGATGTAGCTAACTTACCTGGGGGGAAGGTTGGTCTTGGGCTCAGGGAGAACCTGACCCCATGATTTTCTCTTCTTTGTCTGCTTCCTCTCTGGGGAGGCTGACCCAGCCCCTGAAGGAGCGGGAGTCGTGGCGGCGGACGCCGAGACGCCGGCGTCGTCGTTGAAGGGCGGGGGTGTCATCATCTCTGATGGGTCGACCGTGTTGTCGGTGGCCGAGTTCGCGTCACCGAACAGCGAAGGGTAGAGTTCGCCGGGCGTCGAGACGAATGACTCGGCTGGCGAGTCCTCGAACTTGATCATCGGTGATGTTTGTTCCCAAGAAGCCATTCTGTATGTGAGAAATGGATGATGCCGAAGGTTTCCCTCGCGACGTCGGCCTCAAAGTGGAACGTATTGATAGGAGGTCTTGGGGGAGAATGCAGTCGTACTGCCGAGTGTGTGGGGTTGGCAGAGATCCGGGGGTTGGATTCGGTGAGTGATGGATGTGGGTTGTGCAGTATTGGGGTGCCGTCCTAATTCCTCAATAGAAAGAGATGTAGCCAAAGCCGCCGTACTAAGTAGAAGGCATGATGGGGCTGTGATGACTCTGTGAATGAGTCAGACTGGGTTAGGTGAGTCACCGAAGCGAGGCACCAGCGTAATGGAACAAGCGGGAGGTGCTTGGGTGCGTGTATGCGAAGAAAATGACAGAGTGTTCTTTGGAATTGTGCTGAGGTGCAATGTGTTGACAAGATCGTGGACAAAAAGTAGGCAATGTGGCCTCTTTTGTAACTTGAGAACACGCTGGCCCTCCCCTCCAAGTTTCCAAGGGGTTACGGGAGCCAAGGGACGGACCAGTTAGTGTTGCCTCAGGCATAATGTCACAAGCCCCAAGGGCGAGGTCGTGGGACGGGGACGGGGACAGGGGGGCCGGGGGGAAGCAAGGGTCAGATACAGTACTTTGCTTAGTGTGGTGGTGCGGTGCGGTAGGTATTGACCTGAAAGGTACCACCTCTTGTGTAGCTGGTGGGGCGATCACGCAAAGTCTCATTCTCAGGGGGGATACGATGCCCAGAGACACGTCCAGATTAGAACAGCCGAGGACATGGTCTGTTAGAAGTAGGTACCTCCTGCAGCACGTGTACGGCTCACTCAGCAATGTCGAGATCTCCCTCAAGAAGGTACTCAGCTGGTAGGTGGATGCAAGGGGAAGAATACCTACCCCCAACGAGCGGATAGCCATTGGTGGATATGGCCAACGACGGCGACGGAAGTAGTGGAGGCGTCGTGCACCGGCCGAGCGGTTTCACTGGCTCGGGTTCCTTCCACGGGCAATGTTGGATTGTGGAACATGACATGAGGTGGAAGATCCTTACCTCAAGAGGTACCTTTACGGTTCGAGGTACAGTACAGATCTACTCGCGGTCGTGGTGGTCCTCCTCTCTCCCTGAGGAAGGGGCCTTGGAGTGTGGAGTTTGGCACTGGAATTTGCCCCGAACCCAGCCCCAAACGGAAGGCACCAACAGCAGAAGAGGGAGGTGCTTCCTCGAGTTTCATTGCATGCTGCTTCCTCCTTTTCTTCTCCTCTTCAGGCAATACGGATGGATGGATGCCTTCCAGTGCTGAGTGCCTAATGTTGGTGGCAGCACTTTACTGCTACATGGGTCAATCATTTTCGCCTTCCCAGCGTGGTGCAAATGAGATTCAAGCGCTAACAACTTGTCCTCTCAACTCTCGTCAGATAAACAATCACATCTTGTACCTATCATGATGTAAGATGGGGAAAAATGAAAATAAAAAGCCACTCGTAGTTGTGGTGGGTGGCATCGTCCAGCCGGAGGACGCTCTAAAGAGGAAACATGGGAGTCACGGAACGGAAACACGCCTGGCACAACGTGCCAGACGGAGCCAGCGCGGCTTCCAGGGGCACTCCCTTTTCTCCTTTCTGCTGGCTTTCCACAACTGCAACGCTTGGCAAGGCACACACACTCTATCTCGTATGGAGCCAGACGGACTCCGGAGGAACACGCGCAGAACCGACTCAGCAATTAATTGCAGCCTTCTAGTCTGGTCGCTCCGGACACTCGCTCCGAGATGAGTTGCGTATGCTTTCGCCATTCCTCCGTATCGGCAACAACCGCAATCTCAATGGGGGCAATGTATCGAGGCCCCGACACTCCGGCCCGACCCCATATGGCAATTGGTGGCCGCTGCCCAACGGTACCTCTAATGACAAGAGGGCGCGCTCCCATCTCGGTGGCGATGATAATGGGATACTGTCGAGTCTCCTGTGTCTCCCCCCAACGTTCCTAGCTGAGTTGGCTGACGGATGACGGCTGGTGTGGCGTGCTACGCCTGTAAGCTGAGCTCACAGCGCCTTGCCGCGTTCATGGCAGCTACCTGCTGTGCTGTCTCCGTACTGACAGGTCCCTTGGCAAACTCCGCCGCATTCGTTGCCCCGGCCCAGTTGCTAAACTTAGCCACCCCGTTGTTCCCCGGCACCAGTGGCCTCTTGAATTCGCCAGTCAGACCACACCTGTGGCACTTCACAGTTTACAACTCGACCATTTTGGTCCACCTAGGAGATCTTCTGTACTCCACAGCTGAATGGGGCTGATTCAGGGTACTTCGCTCGGTTCAGTCCTCATTGCAGCAGTGTCTGACTGCAGATATGCGGTTGACCAAAGAAACCACATAACGGAAACTTGCCATACAGCCATAACAATTGTGCGTTGTTCTCCTTAGTCAAAACTCGACCTCAACAAGGTATACTGCAGTCATCCAAAGCATAGTGGAAAGGAAGCCGACCGGGGGGTGGGGAGGGCGTAAATTTCGGTTGCTGTCAATCTTGGGTGGATTGCGTCGGGAGCTTCGTGCGAAGGGCCCTGAAGTGCCACACGCGGCGTTTGTCTGACACCGGTACTTACTCCATGGACCTTTTCGGTGCTTTAGTATGTGTCAGCATGTCACAGTGGTCGAGGAGGAGGAAGAACACCAAAACCTTATTTTGGCAATCTGCGTAGCACACGATGGCACCGCCTCGACGTTCCAATCCTCTTTGCCACCCGTCGCGGACTCGGGGAAGCAAGGTACAGTATACTACTCGCGGGGTGTCTGGAATGCTGCACGATCACGATTCAGCTGTTGATGGCGTTAATGGCAAATACTATGTACCTCATGCGAGAGGATCTCGGTCTAGCCCCCTGGCATCGTTCCAGTTGGCTGGGCCTAGCATTGTCATCCATGATCGCGGACTATCACACTATGCTGTGGGGGATGGACACAACTTAACGCTTGCAAGGGAAGCTCTCAGGCAGCAGGGCCATATTGTGCATCTGCCCTACATCTTTCTCCTGTTCCTTGGAAGGTTCTGGGATCACATGTGGCTAATTTAAGGCGCCGTCAGTGAGTCGTCTCTCGTACCAGACACGGTATTGCGCGCAGGCCAGTTTTGCCAGGCTTGCGCGCGCTCTCGAGAAAACACCGCGGTTTGGAGGGTATACACCATGACTATGGTCGTCTTACCAGTCACCGTTACCCACACATGGCTCCATCCCCCATGCGGTCTGGGGGTCTACACTAATTCTGGACTGCCGCAGATCCGTAGCACTGACCAGCAGACGAGTCCTGGTTCCAGAACGCGACTCATGTAGGGGCCCCTCAAAGTATAAACGGCCTTGAACCTACCTGCCCGGGTGATCCGATGTGTTGATAGATAGACCCAAAGACTTTGACTTTTGCATCTTGAAGAAACTCTGAAGCGTCGACAACCAAGCGGCGTAGGTTGTGTTTGTTATATGACCTTTTTAAATTGCGTCATCTACTTGACACCTCTTCTGCGTGGCCAAGTAGGGCTTGATATGCACGACGCTTGACGAGGCCAGTACTCGGAAGTGTGTCCGGTGCGGGAGCTGCGAGCAGCAACAGCTCGAATTCCGAGTTTGTCAGGTTTGAAGCCTCTTGCGTGCCCTTTTATCTCTCCTGGACCGATCTATACAGTCAACCAGACATGCTGTGACTACGTTGGGCAACCTTGGGTTACATCAGTCATTGCCATCGACTTTCTAGTGTAGGTGGTTGCTGGCCGCAAGCCAAGTCGGTTCACGCAACACATGATAGTTTGTGGAGCCCCAATAACCTGACTACTTGCTGTAACATGCTTCGTTTGAGTGAACAGGATCCTATATGTTCCAGACCCTGCAACCTCTTGAACATGGAAACTTATACATAGTAATATCGCCGACTTCTATAAACAGTGTTCGAATGTCTCGGTTGGTGTCCAAACTCCAGCATACTACCTAATAGTACATAGTATTTACTTATCGGATGGAGGCCAGAGGTGGCGGTCTCCGCTCACTGTGGGCAGGGCAGGGAACACGGTACGCTGCTCCAGTACATTCATGACAGGTGGTGTCGAAGTGCACGATAACGGACGTGGATGGGGTTGACAGTGGACCATTGCTGCGCCTTCCATTTACTCAGTGTGATTACGTACCATAGTGCCCATGATTGATGCCTTCCATAATGAGGATGGTGCACAAGTCCACCGGCCCTTTTTTCCAGCACAACCCCGCCGCACTCAAGATGTGGCTTGCTGGCCTGTGCCTGGCACGTCACCCCGTTAAATTCCGCCAAACATTCGCTTGCAAGAAAGATCTCGCAGCGAGCTCGCAAAGAGTCTCCAGCCCCTCGCAATCCCCTTGGCATATGAAGTTTCGAATCTCGGCAGTGAGCCGCGAACGATGGATGAGAAGCCACCTGCCTTGACTCTTCCGTATCTTCTGAGGTTCTAGAGCCCTTCACTTGGATTGAGTCGAACAAAGAGTCCTGGGTGCAGGGAACAGCTGACGACGAAACAGTAAACCATTCCACCACTTCCCGATCGTTATGGATCATCGCTTTCGCCCCAGTGTCCCCCTGTTTATCTGTTTCAATTCACGGAATTCGGAAGTGTGGAGTGCCGTTGAGTAACGCAGTCTGTGGAGCCGTCAGTGGCAAACGCGACCGATCTCATTTGGAGCAACAGCGCGCTCCAGCGGCACGAGCAGATACAACAACGCGTCTCGTCTGGCTGTACTTGTACCATCATTTTATTCACCTTTTCTAGCTGTCCACTGCATTCACCCAACTTGTTTTGTATGATGCAAAGCTGCCGTATACATTTTGGTATGCGTCTGTCAGGTCATACGTAAATTGCCGTCTGGCTTCACCCTTAGTCGTAAACCTTTGGCATCTCGGCCGGTCCATTGCGGAGACGCGGGTGAAGGATAGCCGCGTAATACGGGGGATGTGCTTCGAGTCCTCCAAGTGGACTAAAGTTGAACGATGGCGAGACGGAAGGATACTCGGCTTGCCGGCTTCGGTACTTGGGAAACAAGAAACTGGGGTGGCCATGTCTCTCAAACGGAATCTCCACGGGGGTGTGTTGCACTGGACAGATTGTTATCCTTTTCCGACGCTTGCCCGGGTCGACCCGCTGCAGCTGATCGATTGTCTCTAGCTGTGGCGGTGCGTGGGCCTACACGTGTACACCACGGTGAAGATAATATCAGCAGCATGCTCACCCGGTCTCGGGATCGGTCGCAGTCTGAATAAAACCATTGCTGGTTTGGGGAAACAGCCGCATGATGCTAATACTGCCATACCGCTCAACCGCTTGCTACTCTCCACAAGACGTGGGCCACACGATGATAAAGCCCGCGTGGGCACACTAAGCCTACATTGCCATGCCGTCCGAATTGGGGGTTATGGAAATGAACAGGCCCTGATTCGAATGAGGCATAGCGATGAGGCAGCTGGCAATAATGTGAGCATATAGCCAATACGCAGAAGGTAGTACACATTTGTAACTACCTGTCTGCTAGAGAGACGGCCTGATGACAATGCTGGTTCTTACGCGGGTACCTCTGCCCAGCAGCTCGAATCTTCATGTCTCTCGTCTGGTTGGCAGAAATACGCTTATACAACAGGATCCCAGTTGCCATGAGCACCCTTGACAATGCCTTCTATCTCCGAAGTCACCCATCCGCCATAAAAGTCGCCCGGCTGCGGTTGGACAGCCTCCCCGTCGACAAAACAAGTCCACGGATCAGCATAGAATGACAAATATCCCTTGATCGCTTTGAACCCTGGCGTGGGAGACTCGTAGGACCAGATACGATTCGACACAACCTTCGGCTCCCCGGTAGACGACGACCCGGGGGGTGTGATAGAGTAATAGGTTGCGACGCCTTTCCACTCGCAATATGTGGTTCGATGAGTTGGGGTCAGTGGGACTTTGACCGAGGCCGATGGTAAATAATATGCTGTTACTAATGTCAGGAAAAGCAGTCGCGATTCTATGCATGCATCTAGAAGAAGAAGAAGAAGAAGAAGAAGAAGAAGTGCGGGAGACATACTAGGCGGATGATGCGTCTCCAGCACCCTGTAGGCTTCCCGGGTGTCTGCAATCACTTGGCCGTTCCATAGGATTTGCAAATGTCGATACACTTTCTCCAGCATAGGCGGCCGGGGAAACGTTTGCACATTCATCTTGGTTTGCGCAGCCATTTTTTGAAATTAGTAGCTTCTTATCTCTCACACAAAGCTTCAAGATTAGGTGAGAAGTGGGCAAATGCAGAGCAGACCAGCAACCCGGTAATTTATTCGGTATATAGCTGGTGAGCCAGTGATGAGACAAGATGGTTTTTCATCATCTAGCACAATCTCGTTGTCATACTAAAAGGGTTGCTGCTTAGAGGCAAGGCATCATAGACTTCGGCAGATCAAAGGCCCGGTGCTAAGACGCAAGTTTTCAGATGTATTAGAGTAAGGCCATTATTTACGGGATGTACATACCTAGTATCAGTGTTCACAGCTCAGCTGTTTCTGGCTGGCTTGATGTGGCTGGTGAAGTACTGACTATACTTACATAATAAACTGTGCAGCCCTGCCTCTGGACTCTCAGTAGTCCCGTTTGTTGCGTCATGTGTGGCGGTGCTCGCCGCCAGCCCCACCTGGCGCAGCTGTTAGGACCGTCCACAGTCTGGTCAACGCATCGCTGATGGCGTTGTAGTTGGCCATTGTCCCCGTCCGATGACTTGTCACCTGAAAGCCCAGCGAGACTTCCTAGCATCACCATATTGGATACAACCCTCACCTGCTTATCGTAGCAATCCCCTCGATCGTTCAACATCGCTTAGTGAAGCCTAGCACACTGAGCCATCCGCCCGCGATACCCCTCCTCGAGTACCCCGCCACTCCATAAATCAAGTCCGACGAACCATCCAGCCAGCCATCATGTCGAACCGAGCCCTTGCCCGAGATATGCAGGTTGAATTTCAAGCCAGGGTATGCTCAAAGAATTTCGTCTCTGTCGCGTCGAGGATATCTGCGCGCGTGCGCACAACCAAACCTTCGCTGGCTGCTCGCTGTTGATAAACACATGCTGACACACATCAAGTTCCAAGCGAAGCAGGCCCGGCGGGAGGCACAAAAGGCCGCCAAACAGGACCCCATTCTAAAGAAGCAGATTCAGGATGTGAGTAGTCATTAGAACATTGACCTGGTCGCCATTTGGGATTACTGGGTACTGACGATAGACTCTCATAGTTGCTCAAAAAGGGCGAAACGGCAAAGGCATATCAGAAAGCCAAGATGCTCTTGTCCAAACAGGCCTTGGCTCAGCAGATGGACCAGATGGCCGACATGGCCGAGCTCTCTGCCGCCCAGATCCAGGCCAACAATTCAATGAATCGTATGACGCACATGATGGGCCAGTCGTCCCGCACCATGTCCATGGCGCAGAAGAACATGAACCCCGAAAAGGTATGTCAGAGATCTATAAGCAGGTAATTCCTATGCATTTCGGTTTCGCTGACGTTCCTGCCTCTCTCAAAGACCCTCGTTACCCTCGAGCAGTTCAAGCAACAGAACGAAGAGTACGCTGTGTCCAACGGCATCTACCAAGACGCTATCTCGCAATCCACAAGTGCACAAGTCTCCGAAGACGCCGTCCACGAGCTTCTGGGCAAGTTGGCCGACGATGCCGGTGTGCAGCTTAATGCGGAGCTCAATAGTGCGACACCGGCCAAGGAAGAGCTCGTTTCCAACGAACCTACCGCTGAGGAGGAAGACGCCCTGCAGCAGAGACTGCGTGCTTTGAGGGCTTAAGAGAGCGGACTTGGAGCGTTGTGGATTTGAGCAAGCTGGGATGGCATCACTCTTTTGGGCATTGGGGGTCAGGCGTTCTCTGGTTGTTTGCACGTATACAGTATGCATTTCCTTTGACAGACATAGGCTTATGAAAGGGAACTTGACGTTCAACGTGACAATAGTACGAAATCTGCGGTGTATTAGGGAGGGTTGCTGCCTTGTTTAATCAATGAGAACCATTCATCATTCATTCCGCTGATGCTTGTCCCCCTTACTTCGTCGCCCCCCCCCCCCCCGATTGTTCAACACCGTATCACTCATGATCGTGCCTGCTACATATACAGGCTGGCAACCGCCGTGATGTCCCGCTTGATCATCTCCTGTGCTGTCTGCATTTTCTGGTATAGCTCCGGATCGCCGATGATGCGAGCAGCATTTTTCACCTCGCGACACGTTTCGTCGAGGCGCGTAATGGTTCGTACAATGGTGCCCTCTAGAACATCGGTCAAATCGGTGATGTTTTTAAAGCTCATGCCTCTCGCCCACTCGTACACAACTTCCATCAGGCCGAACCGGGGTCGGGAGATGAAGTCGTTGGAGTCATCGGCAGACTGGATGACCTGATGGAGTGTCTGGACTTCGTTGACCTTCTCGCTGATGGCAACAATGGTGTCCTTGCCTCTCTCGAGGTTACCCGTTAGGTTCGGTTGCGTATCTGTCTTCTCCTGGAATACAAAAGCCGACAGTAGGGCTGCAATCTCCGCCGGCTCGTAGTCTGCAAGCACGTTGTCTAGGATGAGCTCCGTCAAGACAAGCTCGTCCCCTGAATGGATCTCGCAAGCCACTTTGCCCTTGAGTTGAATTCTGGCACTCTCATCGATGAACTGGAGCTGCTTCAGCACTTGGATTCGTTGTTCATAGTCGGGCAGGAGTTGAAGGTTCTGATCTGAAAGAGATTGTCGCAGCTGAGAAATATGTTCCTTAATAAGCCACTGGTCGTGGCACATAGCAAACTATAATCGGCCAGTCAGCAACGGATTCCCGTCGTTCAAGAGCAAACACTCATCCACTTACGTGCTTCAAGAACTGAGGGCAAGATAGAGCTGGCGAGGATGATGCGGTAACCTCTGCGTCCTTTCGCTTCTTCATCATCTCCTGGAATTGAAGATTCTTGATCTTTGACAGGTCCATTTCGTCCCAGAGGTCATCCCACGAGCGACAAATTGAGTGGAGCCTGTCTTTGGCCTTGAGATACTTTTCGCCGCTTTGAAATATCTCTGGCACGACCCCTTTGGTAACATATCTCGTGAGACATTCAACATCGCTCAGAGGCACATGTAGAGTCTTGATGCGCATGTGCTTCTTTGCCTGAGGCAGCGGCGTAAGATACTTGCGGAAGGCCGGAATGAACGGCAGCAGGTCTGTCGAGTCGCGAGTCTCTCTCATCAATCTAATCTCGCATACATGCAGAGTTGGACTACCCTGCGGACCCTTGTTGCTCGCGCCGTCAGATAGCAATATGCCAGGCGTGCGGATGCCGTCCCTGTTGTAAACGATCAGACGTGCTTGGCTGAACATTTTGCGGCCGATTGGAATTCCAATTAGGGACTTGTAAACTTCCCCGGTAAGTTGCTTATAATCTTCCGATGCTTGGTGGCATTCGTCCATGGAGACGTCGCAGATACCACAAGAGTCACGTTTGATCTTGGCCAAATCAGCCTCTGAAAGCTTGACAGCTTTTTCGTGCTCGGGAAGCAGTTGCTGGGTGGCGTGTTCCGAAAAGCTTCGCTTAATCATCTCTTCAATCTTGAGAGCTTCCACCCGAAGTAGGTTAAGAATCATATTGTAGGTGAGTCGGAACTGGGATCTCAGCTTTGATGGCTCTCCTAGAATCATTTTCTGGAGGTCGGCAACTGGGGAGCCTCGTCCCCCCTGGAGGGACAATGATAACTGAACCCACGGTATCCAAGCCACGACGACCAGCTCGACCCGCCATCTGGGTGTATTCGCCTGGAAGCAGGTTTCTGAACGAGTGACCATCGTGCTTGCGATATCCAGAGAAAACGACTGTTCGAGTTGGCAGGTTGAGACCCATGGCAAAGGTTTCCGTAGCGAAGAGCACCTTTACAAGAGTTTGAGCAAACAGAATCTCAACAATTTCCTTGACAATAGGCAATAAACCTCCATGGTGGACCGCAATACCTCTAGACAGGAGCTCTCTGAGTCTGATAATCTGAGGCAGAGCTCGGTCCTCAGGCTTTAGTCTAGCGATAGACTTTTCGATTGTCATGTGGATGGCGCTCTTCTCGTTAGCGGTGCAGAAGTCCTGGTTGCTGAGCGCATCAGCGTTCTCCTCACATCGCTTCTTAGAGAAGACAAAGATGCACGAGGGAAGCAAGTTGGACTTCTTGAGGAACTGAACAAGATGAACCCAAAGATTCTTGTCTTGAGCCGCCGAGGTAAAGCCGCCTTGTCGACCAGTCCTACCCATGTGTTCTGGATTGTGACTGGCACGCGGCGGCCCGCCGCGGCCTCTTTGTTGGGGACCGCCGCCGCGTTGGCCTCCGCGCTGTCCGCCACGCTGTGCTCCTCCCCTCTGTGCCCCTCTTTGGCCACTTCCACCGCGAGGCGCATTGCTCGGTTCCGGAGCCTTGATCTTGTCTTTGCCTTGAATGGCCTGGTTGGCTTCCTTCCAGCCTTTCTCGATGAACTTCTTCTCCGAGTCCACAATTTTGTGTATGTTTTTGCCAGCCCACAAATAATGTTCCAGTGGAATCGGCCGCTTCGGCGTAGAAATGACATATATGTCCTTCTGCTTGGTCCGTCCAACCCATGATGCGAACTCATAAGTGTTCGGTACAGTTGCAGACAGCAAAATGAGGGTGACATGTTCTGGAAGCATGATAATGACCTCTTCCCAGACGACACCGCGCTCAAAATCATTGACATAATGTACCTCATCAAAGATGACAAACTCAACGTCTCGGATCAGATCGGCTCCTCTGTAAAGCATGCTTCGCAGAATCTCCGTTGTCATAATCAGGCAACTAGCCTCAGGGTTGATTTGAACATCACCCGTCAGGATACCGACCTCGTCGAATGTCTGGCGGAAGTCTCGGAACTTCTGGTTGCTCAGTGCCTTGATGGGCGACGTGTAGATGGCCTTGGTCATGTGCTTCGAGGCAAGGGCAATGGCGTACTCGGCGACGACAGTTTTTCCGGCCGACGTATGCGCAGCAACGAAGACAGAATCGCCGCTTTCGAGATGGTAGATGGCCTCCTTTTGGAATGTATCAAGCTCGAAGGGCCAATCTCTTGCCATGTCAGGTACCAGCTCACTGAAGTTCGTGATGTCTCTGTTGATGTCCACCATGTGAGCCCATTCCCGGCCAGCCTTTCTGGCACTAGATGTCGCCAAAGCCCCATGTGGCTCCAGAGCCGGAAATTCGACCGGCAAGATAGCGTCGATGTCCTCCCCCTCTTCTTCCTCTTCCTCTTCAGCCTCGGCTTCGGCCCTAGCCCCGGTACCCCCCTCTCCGTTGGTCTGCGTCTCACCCTCTGCTTCTTCAGCACCGGGTGCCTGTTCGGGCTCCTGGTCCAACTCTTGTTCGACAGCTTTAGCTTCATCTTCGTTGGTCTTCTTCTTGTTGACATCGATGCCGCGGCTAAGGCCAGGTGCGACCTCGAGAAGGCCGCCCTCGGCACCGAGCTTGATGACTCTCTCGAGCTTATTAGACGAGGCAGCAGCGGAGTCCCCGCCGCCAGCTCGGTGAACCTGGTCCTCAAGTGCAGCAGTCGCCTCAATGCCGTCCAAGCCACCAGGTGCAAAAGGGAAGAATCCCGCAGCTCCACGGACGAAGTCGGCTCTACTAGCAGGCTTACGCAGAAAGGATGTGGAATTCTTGGCAGTGGCACTGTTGGCAGGCACAGTAACGTTTTTGTAGCCAGTCACTCTACCCTCGAGGCCATGTCGCTCAAACCGCGTCACAGTTCGCGTCTGGGGAGTAGAGATCTTGAAGAGTTCTGTATAGTCCACAGGGCAGTCCCAGCGCCTAAGGGGCGAGAGGGTCAGTATCGCATTAATGAATATATGGGCAGAGGTTGTTTGTGAAGAAAACGGAGCTTACTGCTGCAGTCGATTCAGCCATGTAGGCGAAAATTGCGTAGAAGGCGTGAGAAAATCAGCTTCCATGTGAGCCTTGAGATGAGATGCATCCTGCTTGATGCGTTTGCGAGGCCGTTGCTGGAACAAGATGTCATCGATATTCGAGTTAGGACGATCCTCAAGATGGAGACCTTGAACGGCCGTAGCCAGGTCAGAGGCCATCTTGATGATGGAGGCGAGCTGGTGAGAGCGCTCTCTGAATGTGTTGTGGATATTGCAAGGCAAGGGTTAAGTTGGGGTGAGACGAGGCCAACGACAAGGACGAAGCAGTGAAATCTTCACCCGAAAGATGTGTCGCTCAGAGCAACTCGACACGAAGTGAGAGGATATGTAAGGTAGGGGAAGTACCTAGGGCGGGACTGATGACGGTAAGCGGGGCCGAACAATGCTGCAGTGCCCCTCACAAACGGCCGTATTAGGTAAGACGTCACTACCAAGTAAATGGGTGTGCTGTTTCTTAACAACACCGAGCCGGCCTGATCTGAACGACACAAAACTAAAAAAACCTTTCCAATGCAATGCGAATAGCGTCATAGAGCCTCCTATTCAAAGAAGTAGTAGAAGCAGTATGGCTATGTACAGAGGTTGAAATTCGGTTGCTGATTTATATCACAACAGAACCGAAGCCTTATTTAATCAAACAAAGCCTTTGATGTCAACTCGAGGCATGACGGCGACAAGTTCCAAGATATGTTCAAATTTGACTACACCATGTGTGCCGTGAGTGTGAGTGTTGCTCACCCTTGAGAATGGCGGGCGGTGTCTACCTAGTTACTGCAGTAACTGCCACGCCATCCCATGGGTACAAAACTTAGCCAAGGCTTCGCCTTCGGCAACGTCGAGGATACCCCGATCGATGAGCCGGCAAACTAGGTAATATTCATGCGCAACATACGTCGCCCAGCTAGCTCTGACATTGGTGCATAAATCTTCACGTCTAGTCGTGTCCTCAGGGTATGAGATGTGTATATAACAACTGAGCAACATACAAGTACAAGCTTCTCTCCCAAGTCTATCAAGCCCAATAGTCCATTATGAATCGGCTTCCATATCGGGGATCTTCATAAGAAGCAGCCTGCCTACGCCCCATCTTCTCTCTTTCACCACACATGACTTTCTTACAGACGCAGCATCTTGGCGACGTAGTTCTCAATGATCTGCTCAGTGGGGAAGCTCATTTCCTCAAGTCCCTGTGCGTAGGGGGTAGGAACATCAGCACCCGTGACTCTCTGCGCAGGCGCGTCAAGGTAGTCGAAGGCGTACTCCATTGTCAGTGCCAGAATCTCGGAGCCGACACCGTAGGCGGGGAAGCCAGACTCGACGGAAAGGAGGCGGTGAGTCTTCTTGACAGACTTGACAATGGTCTCAACGTCCAAGGGCTTGACGGAGCGCAGATTGATGACCTCGATATCAACGCCGTAGTTCTTCTTCAGGTTCTCCGCAGCAACCAAGGCCTGACCAACGCAGCGAGACAGAGTGACAATGGTCAAGTCCTTGCCAGTGCGCTCAACCTTAGCCTTGCCGAAGGGAAGGACAAAGTCGTCCTTCTGGGCAGCCTCCGACATGGGGAAGGACTGGCCGTACATGAGCTCGTTCTCGAGAACGACGACAGGGTTAGGGTCGCGGATGGCAGCCTTCAAGAGACCCTTGGCGTCCTCAGCGCTCCAGGGAGCAACGACCTTGAGACCAGGGATGCTGCCGTACCACGCTGAGTAGTCCTGGGAGTGCTGAGCACCAACACCGGCGGCGAAACCATTGGGGCCACGGAAGGTGATGTTGCATGGCTGAATACCACCGGACATGTAGAGAGTCTTGGCGGCGGAGTTGACGATCTGGTCGATGGCTTGCATGGCGAAGTTGAAGGTCATGAATTCGCACTGGCAAGAGACGCAGGTTAGAGTAGTGATTCTCCAAATACTCCCGGAACGGTCCGGTCGGCATTTGACTGATTCCATTACGGTGGTTCAGGAGCCGATAGGCCGGTCCGGGGAAGTTACAAGCGCACTGGAGACCGAGTGACTTACCACAGGGTGCAGTCCGCTCAAGGCAGCGCCAACGGCAAGACCGCAGAAACCACTCTCAGTGATGGGTGTGTCGATGACACGCTTTTCGCCGAAGCGATCCAACAGACCCTTTGTAACCTTGTACGCGCCATTGTACTGAGCGACCTCCTCGCCCAGAACGAATACCTTGTCGTTGGCCTCGAGCTCCTCGGCGAGGGCCTCATTGAGAGCCTCACGGACAGTGTAGTCCTTGGTGCCCTTAGCGTCTGCGTACGTCCTTGACTGCACAGTAAAGGCAGCGGGTCGGCTGACGAACTGGGAAACGGGGGAGGAGCGGAAAGCGGCAGCTCTGGACGAAGCCGCCAGGCGGGCTGCGGGACGGAGGAATCGGGACATCGCGCGAATTGAGTTTTCGGGGGGTCGTTGTGTGTGTTAAAGACGCGGAGGTCGCAACGCGAGATAAGCGTAATGATCCCAAGAGGGAGTTGAAGAGAACGGAGATAATAAGGAAGAGGATGGAGGTAGACGGGCGACCTCGAGGTGGGGTTGACGATGGCCAACGACGAAAGTTGAGCGTCGGAGGGAGAGGGATGAGAAAGTCGACCGGGAGCTGTCGAGGGATTTCGCAGCTTTTTTTTTGCTTAGCTCTATGGGCGTTGAGTCCGTTGAATTGCGGCGAGCTGCCAAACAACTGCGTTGGGGAGGCCCTGGGCGTTGCGCTAGTCCCGTTTGAGACTGGTGGTGTCCCTGTACATTAGATAATCGACCGAGTCTTTTTTCAAGCCAATCATGTTGGATCTCAGGGAGCCTGCCCCGTCCGAAGATGCGCCAAATTCCAGGTCCGATCTAATCCCGACAAGCTCCGTCCGGTCCCATCACTGCCCTGGGCTGTTTTGACTGGCTCTGATGTGTTGGCTGCCCGTGCAGTGTGTGTCCCTATCGGCCTTTCACAGTATGGCAGTATCGGCGTCGGGCTTAAGCTCTGGCTCTGAACACAAGGTGCATGAAGCTCCATCAGACACCTTTTCCGTTTCTTTTAGGAATTTGCACCCACTGCCACCCGTTTCCATCCGAAGAGAGAGCCCACTTTAGTGCAACCAACAGAGGACAAGGAAAGGGGAATTAGGCCAGAGGTGATTTAGGCTTGTTCCGCTATTGTGTTCCGCCACTGTGAAGAATACCTCTTGTAAAGTCCATCTAGGATAGTCTTCTCCGATGCTGAGTGTGTGGCTGGGACATCTGGTTCACCTGAAGCTCTCAACCACCCAATGCAAAGTCCTGTCAAGTTCAAGACACCCGAGTATCTGAAGTGGGCTTTGTGTACTTTGTAACAGCACAGCTGTCGAGCGCAAGGCTGTTGCTGGTTATGTCTCAGACTGAACAAATTGCGCAGACCCAGCAAGCTCCTAACCGCGCTGCTGAACTTCTTGTTCCCAATCTAGCCCATCAACAAGCATATGAGGGATAAGCAACAATCCAATCGGACAATTACACTCCGCCGAGGGTAACAGGTATGGTCAAACATAACTCCTCAAAGAGTTTATTTTCACATATTGACAACAGCACCCTACGCGGCCACTCCGCAATGGTAAGCGTTTCTTTGATTCTTATTATCGTTCGATGCATCTAGCCTTTGGGTAGTGTCCCCCCATGACGCCTCATCTAAGCCCTCTGTGGCAATCGTTTTCTAATTACAATTATGGTACTGATAAAATGCTCATACGACGAGTAACAAAGCCATGGCCTCTTCTCTATTTGGCGGTGGCGCCTCGTGCCTTGTCGCTGGGCTTACATGTATCTCAAACGTGCAATGGCCCCTAGTTGGTGGGCTTCTTTCCAACCATCAGATACATAGGTGTGAACAGGTGCTCCTTGCCACCGGCAACAAGGCAGTCGGCGGCCCATGCCAAGCTATCGGCCGTCTTTTTGGTACCAGCAGGAGCGATCTTGATGGCCTCAAGGCCGCCAACAATGTTGTGCATCAAGAAGCGCCCCAGCTTGGTCATCCGCACAATGGTGAATACATCAAATACAGACTGGATGTACTTGAGATCGCCCGATAGGGGCCAGTACCAGGGCATAGGGTCAGGTCTGTCGGCGAGATCCTCATGGTGGAGCATCTCAAAGCCAGCAGCCTTCATGGCAGCGAGACCCTCCGAGACCTTGCACATATTGGAAATACCGTCGCCTTGCTCAATTCCCAGGCGGATCTCGCGGTGGGCCAGGTTGTCGTTGTCGTACTGGTCCGTCATCAACCACTCGTAGACACCAAAGACACCGCCAGGCTTCAATACGCGGAAGATCTCGCTGTAGATACCCTTCAGGGTGGGCGCGTGCACAGTAGCTTCGATGGCGTAGACGGCATCGAAAGAGTTGTCGGGAAAAGACATTTGCTGCAGAGCGCATGTTAGAGATGCCAATTCTACTCCGATAGTTTCCGGTCATTACGTACCATGAAGTCTCCCTTGACGAACTTAAGTTGGTCGGACAACCCCTCCTTCGTAGCGTAGTGAGTGGCTCGGTCGATCTGATAATCGTTGTTGTTCAGGCCAGTAACGTGGCAGCCGGTGAACTTTGCGATTTCGCGCGCAGGTCCACCAACACCACATCCGACGTCGAGAACCCCCATGCCCTCTTTGATGCCAATTTGGTGGGCGAGGTAATGCTCATGACGGGCAATGGCCTGGTAGAAAGGCTCGCCGTGGGAGAAGCGGCAGAAGTGGAAGGACTGGCCCCAGCCATACTCGTACAGATCGGTGGCGAGGTTGTAGTAGCTATAAATTACACGTTAGCAATGTGTCGCCAGTATAATAGAGATACCGTAGCCCGTACTGTCTGGTCAAAGTCGCGTATTCGGCAGTTCGGGCCTAGGTCATGTACACACGTCAGCTTTTGGCACACATGAGTTGACAGCGGTGACGCAGACGCGAGCGGGCAAGACTACTCACCGCGCGCTCCTCGGGGGTCTCGTCCTTGGCGGCCTTGTTGTCCCAGTGCTTGAAGTACTCGTCGACAGCAGCCTGCTTAGCATCGTGGCCCTTGCTGAACATGGCGGCGAGACCACCAGCGGCTTTAGCACTGTTACCGTGCAGGGCCTTGTTGAACTGAGAATCGCGAGCGTGATCCTCGCGCTCGAGATTGGAGGCCGTTGAGGAAACCATTGCTACGTTGAGTTGGCGACGCGACGAAAGAGGAGTTGTAGAATTGAATGTTAGAGCAACTTGGTAAGTGAAAGGTACGGAGAGAGAGTGTTGTGTGAAAGAGAGGGAGGGAGTGAGATAGGAGAGAAGGGGGAAACAACCGAATAATCAAGTTGGTAGGATGGTAGTATGGGCAGTCAGATGTTTGGCGCAAGAGGGCGGGGGGGTATGGTCGGTTTATTTTTTTTATCTCTTATTAATTACATCCAAGAAGGAAAAGGGGACAGCGATGGCAGCGGTCATGGGCGTCTTGGTACGGCCATGTCAATTTCCAGTGTCAACGGCTACGCCCATTTCCCCGTGCGTCCCTCAATCCCAGTCTCCCATTCCCTTGGCGGCGACCTACACAGACAGTACCTAGTCTGATCTGGTCTTGAGCACGAGAGTGGCAAGGGGGGCTTGATCCACTGCCACCAGCAGAAATGCAACAACCACACCTGTAAGAACGGACACCCATGGACAGAGGAGTGGGAAAATAGGGAAAAAAGCGGGAGACAAGCTACCTGTCTCATAACGCAGGGTCCGCAAATCGACCTGAGTCGGGGTCTAGTCCATGGCAATTGGCCAATCGTGGTAGTGCATAGAAGCGCATAGCTTTGTTGAGCAGGCGGTGAACATCGAATTCACTGGCTTGAGTGAAAACATGTGCACATCGACCAGGGGCAGTCCAATCCGAATACGAATTCGAAACACTCTCAGCCAGTCGTTTGGTAGCAGCGCAAGCTATTACCGCAACAACCTCATTACACTAGCAGTCTTTCCAGGTTGGCATCAATTAGGCTAAGGCTCCTTGAAGTATTGGTTCTCAATACGATAGCCTGGATAAGCAGGTACTGTCCGATTGCCCAAGATATTGAGTGTTCGCAACTCGCCCGAACTAAGTAGACGGCGGCGCCGTCATATCGCCGGGCACTCGAGTTTGCTCAACTTGAAGCTGCGGTGAAGCATGTTCAGCTTCACAGCTTCGTAGTGGCCACAAGCTTAGTAACGGTGTAGTGAGAGCTAGTGTCTTATCGCCAAGTTATCCTGAGGCTGGTACTCAGCACTATTGTATCTTTACAGTCGTGTGCTCAAATGAAACCGTGCAGAGTGCATACGACTCCACCCAAACTTGCAAACTGTCATATCTCTCACCATATTCAGCCAGCCGAAGACTTGCCTTGAAATTCCGACATCGGATCCCTCGAGTGTGATGCCAGATCAACAAGACTTCGAGCAGCTGGTAGGGGGGACAGTAAGCATAGTTCCCATTGAAGCCCATATCCTTTTTACGGTACGTACCGGTGGCATTGCCTCCGTCGCCGCTCTGTGTGGCACACACGTCACGTGAAGATAAGCAGCTTTTTACGCCACTGATGTGACCTCTGCCTTCGCGTTCGCGCAACCAGGCCCGCCCATCTGGTTGGCAATTCCCAGCCCGCCGCCAACCCTGGTTGATCAGCCGCATCACGAATATTTGCTTGTTATACCAAAGAACCCTACAACACTTTCTCCGTCCACTTCCACAAGCCTCCGATCTTACGACTTCTGCCGACTTTCAGCCTCCGCGAGTTTCGCGGCGTCGAGGCGTGATGCCACCACAAATTAAACAGGACCTGAATCGCTCAGGTTGGGAGTCGACTGATTTCCCCTCCGTTTGCGAAAACTGCCTACCCGAGAATCCCTACGTCAAGATGCTCAAGGAGGACTATGGTGCCGAATGCAAACTGGTGAGTCTTTTTCTGTTTCCTTGCCCTTGCTACTCTCCAGAATTGTCTACTGATATGAGGTGCTGCAGTGTACGAGACCTTTCACTGTCTTCAGCTGGAGTGCCGATCGAGCCCACGGCCGAAAGAAGCGAACAAACATCTGTTTGACCTGCGCGCGACTCAAGAACTGCTGCCAGGCATGTATGCTGGATCTCTCCTTTGGTCTGCCTATCGTCGTTCGCGATGCTGCCTTGAAGATGGTGGCCCCGGGGCCGTCATCCGACATCAACCGCGAATACTTTGCACAAAACAACGAGCGCGCTATTGAGGAAGGCCGTGCAGGAGTCGAAGAGTACGAGAAGACGGATGAGAAGGCCAGAGAACTTTTGCGAAGGTTAGCGGCAAGCAAGCCTTACTTTCGAAAAGGCCGGCCCGTTGAAGGCCTTGACAACGAGGCTCAAACAGGTGCAAGCTCCAGTGGTGGGCTCGGCGGTAATCCCGCTGTGGGTGCCGGTGTTGGTGGACCAGGTCCGATCCGGACACGGGATTCGAGGGCCGCAGCAGCAGCTGGAGCCAGGCCAGGCAGATCGAAGCAGGCTTTCCCAAGTGCTGCCCAGTTGCCTCCTGGGCCGCAGGACTGGATGCCACCAGCCGACAACAACATCATGTCCCTCTTTATCACCGGCGTCGAAGATGACCTGCCTGAGCACAAGATTCGCGAGTTCTTCAAGGCGCACGGCAAGATCAAGAGCTTGGTTTGCTCCCATATGTCGCACTGCGCGTTCGTCAACTACGAGACAAGGGAGGCGGCTGAGAAGGCCGCCGCGGCGTGTCATGGTCGAGCTGTGATCGCAGGATGCCCTTTGCGTGTTCGTTGGGGCGTTCCCAAGGCCATCGGCACCATGGATAAGGAGCAGCGGTCACAAATGCTCATGGACGCTCGACGAGGACGGGGAGGCGCACGGGGGGGAGACGGGAAGGGTGGGCAAAAACAGATCACCAGTGGCTCTGGCGCTGGAGACGATGCTCAATCGTCGGCTGCACCGGTGGTTGCGCCACCCCCGGGTGCAGATGATGGTCCGAAGTACGCTAGTCTTCAAGGCGATTAATATTGATGGACGAGGGAAGCAGATGCATTTCATATGGAGTTGAGGGGTTATTAAGGATCGCCTGGAAATGACGACCGGAACCTGGGATTGAGTGAAAAAGCCATATCGTTTGTCAGGGTATCATAAGATTTGTTATACAAAGTTACCACCATCTCTACTATGCTACACGGCCTTCAGCCTCGGACTCTTCTAGTCCTTCAGCTGCAGCCACACCCACCCGTAATAGCTTTGCCGCTGCCGGCTATCTTGACAGAATCATTATCGCCCCGCTCGGTGTCCTCGTGAATGCGCAACTCTGAGAGGTACTCTTCAGTATGGCAAGAAATTGTAGGTAGCATCTTAAGTACGGTGTAACTCACTGTAAATTTGAGACTCGTCTTGTTTTCCTTGAACGACATTTTCTCTAAGGATCTTGGCAATGTCTTCGGCTTTTTGGATGGCTTGGTCGTAGGCCGGGTTTGTCGGTGCGAGGTTGGCTTGGTCCCTGAAGCCTTGACGAATCTGCTGCTTTGCAGCTGTGAGAACGCGATCGTCGCCTAAAGACAATGCCGTTGTCAGTCAGCAATTGCGGTTATAACAACGGAGCGTGCCCCATACCTTTGAAGGCAATTCTCGCAGCGCGCCAGAGGTGTCGATACGCAGGCAGGGACATAATGAATGCTGTGAACCGTCTGAAAACCCACGGGTAGTACACGAGGGGTTTGAAATATTCAGTCTGTTCTGTAAGTTTGGGAAGCGATAACGGTGTAGTAAGGAATAGTACAGTGGCCAGAAGGGGTCAAGAGAGGCTCGACGTGGTGTGAACAGCTGCCGTGGCGTGGCTTCAAAGAAAAGAAGACATGAAAAGCTCCCGACAACAGTGTGTCTAAGTACACACCCCTGTGTTTTCTGCACTATCACACCCCTAGTCCAAAAAAAATTATGCCCCACGCTCTTGTATTTTTTTTTCTTCCCTTGGACGACGTCCCTCCATTGTCCATTAACCCTCGAAAGTTGCGATCCTCATCTAGCCAAATAATTCGAACATTTTCGATATGGCTTCTGCAACTGTTGTCGCACACGCTCTGCCGGCTCTCCCTGAGGGCTGGTCTGCCGAAAAGGACTTCAAGGCTGTCGGACAGGTTGCTGCCGCCACACAGCGCAGCCTGGAGCCCGTTGGCCCTCACTTCCTGGCCCACGCCCGCCGGGCCCGTCACAAGCGCACCTTCTCCGAGGATGACCGTATTCAGGCCCAGGAGGCTGCCAAGAAGGTCGAGAACGAAGATGATGGCGAGATCAGTGAGCCTGAGGACCCCATGATGCTTCAGCGTGACGCCAAGGACTGGAAGGTAAGCGGGTGACCCTCGCTGCATAAGCTGTTACGCCCATATAAGATCACGACTGACGTGTTGTACATCTAGAACCAAGACCATTACCAGGTCCTCGGACTCACCAAGTATCGCTGGAAGGCTACGGAGGACCAGATCAAGCGCGCCCACCGCAAGAAGGTCCTCAAACACCACCCCGACAAGAAAGCCGCCGCTGGTATTGTCGATGATGACAACTTCTTCAAGTGCATCCAGAAGGCCACCGAGGTTCTTTTGGATCCCACCAAGCGCCAACAGTACGATTCGGTCGATGAGAAGGCCGATGTCGACCCTCCCACCAAGAAGCAGCTCGCTAAGGGCAACTTTTATAAGCTGTGGAGCAACGTATTCAAGGCTGAGGGTCGCTTCTCCAAGACCCAGCCGGTGCCGGCTTTTGGCGATGACAAATCTACCAAGGAGGAGGTCGAGGAGTTTTACAACTTCTGGTACAACTTCGACAGCTGGCGAACGTTCGAGTACCTGGACGAGGATGTCCCCGACGACAATGAGAACCGTGATCAGAAGCGTCACACGGAGCGTAAGAATGCTAATGCACGCAAGAAGAAGAAGGCCGAGGATAACGCCCGTCTCCGCAAGTTGCTCGACGACTGCTCCGCCGGCGACGAGCGCATCAAGCGCTTCAGACAGGAAGCCAACGCGGCCAAGAACAAGAAGAGATTAGAAAAGGAGGCGGCCGAGAAGAAGGCTCTCGAAGAGGCTCAGGCCAAGAAGGAGGCCGAGGAGAAGGCTGCCAAGGAAGCGGAGGAGAAGGCAAAGGTCGACCGAGAGGCATCCAAAAAGGCTAAGGAGGCGGCCAAAAATGCTGTCAAGAAGAACAAGCGTGTGCTCAAGGGCTCGGTCAAGGACGCCAACTACTTTGCGTCTGGTGAGCCTTCGGCAGCCACAATCGATATAGTCCTCGGTGATGTTGAGCTCGTCCAGGGCAAGATTGACCCTGATGAGATTGCGGCGCTGGCTGGCAAGCTGAACGGCCTCAAGGTTGCCGATGAGATCAAGGGTGTTTGGAGCGAGGAGGTCAAGAGACTCGTTGGCGCTGGCAAGCTCAAGGAGGGAGACGCCAAGTCTTTGGTTCAGTAAGGGGCTGCCATTTCAGCAAGTATAGAAAAAGTCTATGGAGATATGACACAACTAGCTCATGATGGAAGGGGATACAGGCGTATGACCCGTCGGAAGGCAATAGAGTAGACGAATCGAAGGCGGCTTTCAATGATGAACCATATTTCAGCACCTTCCTTGCTCGGCCCTTCAGGATTCCATCCCCCCTAAAAGTAAAAGTCAACCGATTTTCTTTGGGGTATAGGGGAGTTGCTCGGGCTCGAATTCGCTGTGTAGAACGATGAAAGTCATCATAGGTTTGTTCTAGGCCGGGTAATACCAATTACTCAAGACAAACGTTGTACAGTAGGTGAAGATTAGGTAGGTACTAGATGCAACAGTAAGGCCAAATAACAGGCGGTTGACCTCATCACTCGTACGTAATAGCGGAAACAAGTCCCGATGTCTCTGGCTTGGTATGTGTTGGATACATGTAGTCATATGTTTTTGGTCCAATGGTGTCTATGGCGTGCTCTTAGTTGTTCTGCGGACTCGAGGCAGACTGATGTAAAGCACGATATTGCTCGATGTGACCGCGGAGGAATACAATGGCTCTTTCTTTGAAGTGAGAGTGAAGTGAGGGTATTGTGGCTTCTTCAACGAGTTGTTAAGGAGGCAAGGAAACGACACAGGAAGGGGCGCACCTAGCAAGGAAGGAGGTATGCGAACCCATCCCATCGCTCTTCCCCTCTCAGTGTGGAGTCACTCAAGTTTCAATACTGCGCCTGCCTACAAACCAGAGAAGTCATTTCCACGTAGACTGGTTACAACAGCGGAAGTTACAGTTACCGCCGACCTCCTCCGTGCTTGTCTCGCCTGGCAAGCAAACATTGTCTACCTAATGTTCTGTGATTTTGTAAAGCCCCTCGGATCTCAACCTACTTTACATTACCAACGCCTGCAAAACTCGTCTACTGTGGACGTTCCTTTGATTTCACTTGTTACTGCAACATTACATGGGCTCAACGCCCCGGCAAACTACATCTCCTCGCCTTACAGCAGCCATTATTGTTGTCAAGATCATCATCATCATTCTGGCAGACTCCTGGTCTATTATTACCTCGAACTCTCAACTGGGAATCTTCTAGGTCATGTCGAACATGGATGGGTTCCCCAGGGGTCCCCTTTGGACAGAGCATGAAACCAACCCGGCACCCGAGGTCATGGTTCATTCAGCACCCGAGGCCGTTCATATTCCGATGAACAACATTTTAACTGGAAACGACGGTACCAACGATGTCAGACCTATTGATCCAGGTCAAGGAATTGACGTTCGGAACGATGGAGGACAGACAAGCCACTCTAAAGCAGAGCGCCGCTCGCGCCTTTGGAATTGGAGAACGATGGTCTGCATCTGCCTTGGATTGCTCGTTTTAGCCATTGTGATTCCTATTGTCATCATGACTACCACAGCTAATCGAAGCCATGACCGTGGAAACATCGAGATCGCCACCAGCTCATCAGCACCGTTTGCCCCCCTGCCACATCCGCATCCTCTTCAAGTATTCTATATCCTTCCTCGACTTTGGGTCCGGTGAGTAACAAGTCCTCCATTAGAGGCCTGCTGTACCATATCCAAGTTGCTAACCACGCTGGTAATATAGCCTCCCGAGTGCGTCAAATCAGAGTTCGTCAAGGCCGTCAATTGGATTGGCATCGATCAGAGTCTAGGTGGCTGGGATTTCAACCTGCACACGGCTAATACCGCTGAGGAATGCTGCACCATATGTCACCAATCAACTCATGACGGGTGCAATGGCTGGTTATACATAGCCGAGGAATCTTTTACCCCTGAGTGTTCCATTATCCATGGATCTGCTGGTCCGAATAAGAACGACTCTTGTCCCAAGGGCCGTCCCGGCATTGTCTTTGCAAGGACGGATGACGCGGACAACTACGGAGGACCGGGTCCTTGTGCAGGCTCGGTTCGTGGATGAGGTTGTACGAAAGGCCCAAGGGGACAGCACGTCAGGTCACTTGAAGAACAATCATTGATAGACGTGATGAGAAACGCGGGAATTGCGAGCATCAGAAGCGAAGAGCTTTCAAAATCATGAACAGATATTGGGAGGTTAAGCTTGTTTGCGATATGAGTAGGATACCCCTCTAGGAAGTTGCACAGATATGGCTTTCCGCGGCTTCTATGTTCCATACACAAGTGGAACAGTCACCTCGCATTTTCCTGATTCTAACCCGACTCTAAAAACCATGTCGACAGGAGATGTGATTGCGGCAGGCTTTCAATCAGTCAATTCAGAGCAAGCAGCGACTTTTCAAATAAACAAGTGAAGTCCATGACGACGAGTAAAGAGCTATTTCCCTAGGTCTCTCGAAAGCACAGCCTAGCGAAGTCTGTTACTGGAATCCAGACCAGATTCCTCCCCCGGCGAGGTATAAGACGTCAGTTTTCCTTGATAGATGTCGACCTGAATTATACCATGTTAGTCTCCAAGGATGGTAACTCATCGAGAAAGGTGTGTTATTAAGCCAACATACGGTGATTCCAGGATCATTTTGAGGAGCGTAACCTGGGATGCTCTTCAAGAATGACGATGGAGGCTGAGCAGTTCCACTGCCCTCGACAACAAGCTGGGCACATTCGGCATAGAACTGCGGAGTATTGGCCTGGTGGAGAGCCAGCAGCTCATGACGGATCAGGTAGTTTCTGGGTTTGATGTTGCCTGGGATCTTGCTAGACCACTTGAGCTGCTTAAGGACGATGGCAGTCCCCAGTTCTCGCTGTTGAGGTTATTGCCCCAAAGGCCCATCTGGTCAATCTTGAACCAGCCTTGCTTATCGCCGGCGCAACTCTTGAAGTCGCTACCGCAGTCGTACATCCAAACCATCACAGGGCCCTGAGCGTGCGTCCACTGCTTCCAGTTTGCCGTGACGTTAGTACCAGCCTTGATGTTGGCCGTCAGGGGCGCCGAAGTTCCACCGTTGCAGCGCATCTTGATGTCGTTGACGGTCATGGTAGGATTATAGTCAGGCTAAGATAAGCAAATTGATGTGTCAATGTGGCAGGTCCTTTGTTCCCAATGATGATCCTAAACATACCCATTGTCGTTGGATTGTCGGTGGCGAAGTTGCGGGCGCGAAGCCCTCATATCCTGGATAGTTCTTGCCATCGATGGTGTAGCTCGTCACCGCGCCATGGCCGGCAGCAACGACGACCAGGCCGAGCAAAGGGGTTAGTGTTTGTAGGAACATCGTAAAATGAAAGTGGAATGGTGGGTTCTGTTACTAGGAACAACACACTACGAACACTCATCCAGAACTCTCACAGCGAATACTCAGATACGCGGCCATTTTATACATACATTCCTGGACTACATCTAGTGGCTTCTTAACCTCGTCACACTTAGGTCGGAGCTGCTGGCTCGACAATATATGGACCACACCTTGTGACGGCATTTAATGCTGGCAAAACAGATTAAGGTAGTATATTGTCAGCCAATCGTGAGTTGGTACTCCCTCGGGGAATGGGCCGTGGAAGCTACGCTACAGAGAGAGCCTATCACGCAGGTCTGGTTGAGTTGATCATTGATTGAATGTGACAGCAAGTAGTCCATCGAAGCGTGTGATGGTTGGCTCTTCATACTGCGAATCGATGCTATGAACCGTTCTTGTCGATACTCGAAAGCTGTAAGGGGAAGTTTGGGGTATCAATACCCCTAACATAAGCCAAGTCATGCTGGCTAGCCTTGAAAGCGGGTGAAGAGAATAACCATGCCAAGGAATGAAAGATTCTGGGACGAAACTTGTGGAATACCGTTCCGAAGCCTTTAGATTAGTGTGTTCATTCATTCGACGGCACCGTGGCCCCCAAACCCGTACTAACTTGCTGTGCGGTGTTCGAGGTTCCGAATGAAACGTGACGGAATGTCATCAAACCCTATTGCAGAATAGCTTTGGCACCGCCGGAAAACTTGCCGCTGGAAATGCATCCGTCTCATCGTAGTGATGGTCATATGCCAACTAGAGGGCGCGTACCGCTGGTAGGCGATATAGGCTAATCAGGGTAAAGCCAAGATTACCCATACGACTCGACGATCGTCGAACGGATGCACAGAACAAAGCCTACAGAGTCCGTTCCACCAGCACTGACTTTGGAAAAGGTCTCGAAGGTGACTCAGTACACGAACACGCCGGCTAGGCCGCAAGCGATGCTCACGAAGATGCACCGCCGTTGTGTGCTCACTCATCTGCCCGTGTGGCTTTGACCCGACTCTGCAGTTTGGCCTGCCAACATACGTAACCGCACAGCCCGCACTGCGGCTCAAAGCGAACAAAGTTCAGGTCTGTGCCTCGACCGAACGGCTCGTCCCTTGACGTTGAGTCGGTCATGCAAGCCACATAGCGGGGTGCTCTTTGACGTGAACACTAGCATGGGCCAAGGAACGACAGCTGTTGCGATTGGACGCGTATCGCCAAGCCAAGAATAAAACAAGTTGATTATTAACTTGGACGTTGGAGTTAGTCCATCAAGTTGACGGACTGAGGCAGCATCTTGGATGTTATTCGTTACTACGGTACCCTCGGTCCTTACTGAGTGCGCCCCGGATAAGGTTTGGGGACACGCGGTCCCGCTCAGTTAATCCGCCAAACCTAACCAACTGTCTTGCGCGGACGACGACCTGGTTATCCAACCAGTATGGCCCGAATTAGGCATCTCGAAGGAATCGATGGCAAAGTTTAGGATGAGAGGATGCTAACCATTACGTCAAGAAAAAGAGCCGTGGGCCATGGCCTACTTGCGGAAATGCGCCCAACCCAAGAACGAGCGTATAAAGTGCTTGAGATGATCCCAATGAGAGATGTTGGATTTACCTAACTCACTCAACATCCACTCAAAAGAGAATTCCTTCAAACGACCCATTACTATCATCCAACTCTGGTCTCCTATATTAAAACAACGTTCAATTTTCAAGATGAAGACCTCAATCCTCGCCATTCTGGCTGCCGCCGCCGGCCTTGCCATTGCTGACAGCCTCGACGTCCCCGACTGTGCCAAGAGCTGCGTCAACGATGACATCCAGAAGAGTGGCTGCGCGCAGGACAAGATTAAGGACTGCTATTGCCAAAAGGCAAATGTCAACTCATTGATCAACTGCGTCTCCGGGGCTTGCAAGGACCAAAATGACCTGGTCAAGGCAGCTCAGGCGGCCCAAAAAGCATGCCCCCAGCTCAACGGTGGTTTCTTTCCCGGTCAAGGAAACAACGGCAACTAGACAATATCAGATCCACCTCCAAAACACCCGGTATCCAGCAGAATGAGTCTCACAGCGGTATTGATTTCGCAACCGTCTTTCGCTTTTACTTCATAGCTCCCCTGTCGGCATATGCATAGAGTTGACCAGCTTTCAGCCTGGCTTGCAGTGACGGAAGGTGGGACTACGGATTAAAGGGGCATTGCTTTTGTGGATGAGAGAGGAGGGGGCTTGCATAGTTGTACCAGTGGCGTGTTTAATGGGGTTTTCGGCGGGATATAACCCGTTACTTTCCTTGACAAATTTCACTACACCTTTCTTCTCGATCCTACTGCATCTCTGGCAGTTGTTCATGCCGACTCATTGCTTGTAAACAACAGCTGTGGCAATCCAGTGACCAGCTGACCGTTATTTCCATAAAGTGATCCACATTGAACACAATTTCGTTAGCCTGGTGAAGAGTACAAGTGTGATTGACGTGCTGAAGTCTGACTTCTGGGTATCATGCGATGCGCTCGGTATCTCGTCTAATCGGGTAATTTCACAAAAGGGGGATCCTAGTGAAGAGATCATCGTATAGTTTGCCGACCCAGCCTTCTGTCAGGCCCCTCTTGCCACGACACCTAGACCGCCAGCTGCCCAAATGCCAGCCGCAGCCGCAGCAATACCATGCAGCGCCCACCACGATCTCCTCTTGCGCTTCCGGACCTTCTTGTCGACCACGTTGGTGCCGCTACCGCTCCATCCCATCGCTGTCGGTGCCAGTCCCAGCCACCTAGCTGCGCCCCAAATCATGTGACCGCAACCCACCGTCAGCAGACTGGTGTAGGCGAGCCATGATGCAAAAGGGTGCTGGACAAACCCGTGTGAAACGAAAGCCAAGCCAATGTTGGAGCTGTCACCCTCGACATAGAGCGGAAGTAGACGATTGATACCCACATGGGCAGCGAGGAGTGCCGTGAAGACATAGCCAGATATGGAGATGTAACTAACGGGTGGCCAAATGCGGCCGGCCGAATTGGTACTGTTGGACGTCAAAGACCGAGAGCTTTTGCCAGTCTGAGCGCGATACAAGGCGTACATGCCTGGTGTATTACCGCCATAACGCTTAAGGTTTTGCGACCGGCGAACAAGACGGAGCGCGATGCCGGAAGCGACGTGTGCGACAATGGGCAATGCCACAAGAAGGGGTTCTGTGAGCGATGTTTGGTATATCTCTCGGGACAGTAACAGGTACGTCTCAGAAGCCGGAACGGAGCGTGCAATCAGGGGTATTATCGAAGTGTTGGCAACATGAAGCGACGTAAACACGGGGATTAGGTAGGAAGAGAACCTTTGTATGCGCGTAACTGGCAATTGCATAATGGTCAGTTTAAGACAAGATCCAATACAAGGATGAGTGGACTGCTGTAGGAACATACGGTAGAAGATGGCACTATGACCGCTCCCACTCAAGCCGGGGGCTGAAGAGGTCGATCTGAGTGAGCCAGTGCTATCCTCGAGCGCATCTTCCGGCAGGGGAGGAAGGTCTTTCTCGGTGTCGGCCGGCGGTGTCTCAATAGGTGATGGGTCTAGTTGTAGAAGCGATACGAGCGTTTCTTCTGACGGCTTCGACTGTAGAGATCTGGACTCCATGGCGAACGCCGGCGCTTCTTGTCTTCGGCTTCTGCGCAAGCACAATAAGAGACTGTTGGTAGTGGCTTAAATGTCGGTTCGATTGGTTCCTTGGTTGTGTCACAACAAAAAAATACTGCACGTCAAGCATCCGCAGGAGGTTGTCTGAGTACACTCAAATCGTCGACTGCACAGCTGACCATTCCTCAGCACGTCATAGGTTGCAGTAACAAGGAGCGGCAAGCATCTGGTCGTTTCCACGTCTGAGGCTGCAGATGGGTGGGTCGGATGCTAAGCGGAGAGCCGCACTAGACTCGTTATGGAACGCGGCTCATTCCTGCCATCTGGGGGCGGATCATCGGGCGAACCGTTCCTACGGCTTGAGCCCAAGTCCCAGCTGCTGCTGACCTACAATGCCTCTTGTCAATCGTCACGACCAGCCTACATCAATTAGACACAACCAGGATATCCGGCCACGATGCCTCCGGTAAGTTAACAACCGTTTGTACACTTAGTGTCACGACTCTAATCAGCCTCAACGCGCAGCGCCACCAAACACTGCCCCCGGCGCAGACCGCTGCAGCCCGCGAAGCTCTCCAGTCCTTCTACTGCAGCCTCTGCTCCAAGGGCTATTCGCGTATGAACGACTATGAGGCACATCTCAGCAGTTATGACCATAGTCATAAACAGCGCCTTAAAGACATGAAGGCCATGGTTCGCGATCCGAATGCCGGCGCCCGAGCCCGGAAAGCCGAAGCCAAGGCCGACGGGCTTGTCAGTATCAAGCTCGCCTCCAACGAACAGCCGCAACAGGCCGCCCCTACAGGAGGGTTCAAGAAAGGTGGCTTCAAGAAATCGGGCTTCAAGTCGGCCTTTGCCCCGGCCGACGTCCTGGCTGCATCTGCGCCAGATACGCCAAAGTCAAGAATTGGCCAAGCGCTGGAGGCAGACAGGCTTGCGAATGCACGCGAACAGGGCACAACCGCTGAAAGCGATACGGAAGATGAGGGATACCAAGTCTACGACCCACGACGTCCGACTGATTGAAATTTCGGTGTCAAATCTGCAAGCTACTTACTGGGCAAGGTTCCGAACTACGAACTTGCTAACTCTTAGCGCTCACTCAGCTGATCCGGCTTCGAGACACCGCGATGGAGTATTGAATTGAGAGAAATAAGGCGAGAAGTTGCAGAGCTTTTTGTTCTTCTCAGGACCGCGTGGGCGTCTAGCCAGCCATGATATTATTATCTTGGGTCGGCCACTCCTGGCTCAGTCATGTGACTGGAGAGGATGCAGATGCTCAACCTGCTGCGGCAAAAGTCTATTGAAGCTATCTATGGCATGGACCAAGGGCAAAGTCGAACTCTGGCTTTGCTTTCTTCCACAAACAAGTTAGTTGAACTGGGACAGGTCCTCTTCAAGCAGTCCCATCATATACTGACTGCCCGAAAACCAGTTGCCTAGCTGAGCAGTCTGCAAAGTAGGCTGGGACATATCGCTAGTATCCATTCCTTGAGCCGGGTATTCATTTGGTGGGAATCCCAGCGCACTCAAGTATACGTCAAATTCGTCATTGATGGGCCCGCGTTCGTCCGACTGCTGTGACTTGCTTTCCATGTACAGCGTCGCTACGTTGCACAACATTGAACAGAGCTGGTGTAGCTTCTCGACAGGCTCTGACAGTGCACAGGCGGGTCTGAGAGAGGCCACAAACTCACTCAAAAGTCTGAGATCATCGGCGTTCGATGTATCGATGACGTGACAGAAAAGGACGAAAAAAGGCGTGAATGGGGTAAGAAGAATAGCCCTAGTTTGATCAGTCGGGATAGCTGCGATGGCGAAGCGTTACGCTGGAACGATGTGGCTCTTACCAGTGGACGTAGACTGCCTTGAGGTGTCGCCCCTCTTCAGCGATTTGCTGCATGCATTCAAGATGCAGCCGCATGGCGAATCGTGCTGTATCAATACACTCCTGGTTAAACCGAGTCGGCGAGCCTTCTGGTGCTGGTAGTGCTCTATAGATCAAGGTCATGGTTGACTGGAAGGTCAACTCGTCGCCCCTTAGGTGTATCTGTAATATGGAAGAGGCATTCAAAGCTTTAAGACCAAAGAGAACTTGCTCCCGCACATGGGATGCAGCGGCCATAATAGCCTTTTGTTCGCTTTCCAACCGCCGTACGGTTTCGATCCGTTCTTCTTGAGATAGGTTCAGGGCAAGCGGGCTGTATCTATTATGGTGTCAGCCCCTTGGCGTGTGTTGTGAGCAAGGGGAATACTACGGACAATTGCTCGTAAACGCGGTGCTCGATTTCGGATTGTTTGATCCAAGTTGTAATAATGGCCCCCCAAGGATCTGCGACCATTGTGTTGTCGACTCTCCTGGGTAAGGTGACATCCCAGTCCTGTATGACAGACGCCCTGCCTGTCCTAAGTGAGAGAGTCTTGTCCAGCATATAAACATGCCAAAACAAAAGGGGTTTAATGTCTCTGGGGCCGGCGCTTTCGCTTCTGACCTGTGAAACGCGGTGGTAGCCAAGTGTTTGGCATAGATTAGCAGCAGTGGAGGTGAAGAGCCATGCGAGGGATGCTTTCGATACGTCTACAGAATACACGGCCTGATGTCTCGTTAGCGCTGAGGAGCAGAATTGTAATAAGCAGCACGCCACATACGGCCAAGAGTAAAGCCTCAATGCTCTCAATTTTAGCGGGCAGCATGAGGGGCAAGCAGGCTAGGGCCGTTTCCAGGTTGCTTTGGCACATGTGCTGATACCTTTCAAACTCTTCTCGAGCAGTCGCGTCGGGCGCAAGGTATGCCTGTTCCATGAAGAGGTAGAAGAGCGCGCCGTTCACAATGATGAACGTTGTGTCCGCAAAGTTGTCAGTACAGAAATAGACCCTTCGGCAGAGCTCGGCTAAATCATCAACGTCTAGAAACGAACATGCAAGCGAGAATATGCTTGGGGGAGAGACTGCCATCATGTTAGCCGGTACCGGATTGTCGCACACTAGTGACAGAAACACACCTTTCATGTGCTTGAGCAGGGCGACAACAGCATTCATAGGCGGCATAGGCAGCTCAGTCAAGCCTCCCGGCGGTAGTGGCTGTTGGGTACGAAAGCGGAACTCTCGAGTGGAGGAGGTCTTGGATTGCATAGCGACAATCTGACGTAGGGAGGAGAGTGCTGCGTGCATGTTGGGCGGGACGTCTTCGAGCGAAGTTCTCTGCACAGCGTTTTCGATGAACTCGCTGGCAAACATGGTATGGGCGGTGAGTGAGAGGTCGCCCTCGAAGGCGGAATCCGAGTCTGCGCCGTCTTGGGTCAAAATGGAGACATCTCCAACAGTCGATGCCGAAGGCGTTACGTGCCTGACCCTGCTGGCGTCCCATGAAGAGCTACCAATGCTCTGAGGATTGTTTGCGAGACTCCGCAGCAACTCTTCGATATTGGAAAGACGTTCCTCGATCAGGTCAATCTTCTTTTCACTGTAAAAAGCAGGCCATACATGTCAGCGTCTCTCCCTACCAAGCGTATGATATGGTAAAGGACTGTTAGCCGGCAGCTATAAAACCAGCAAAATCCTGCTGCCATACGGGATGAAGGGGTGTAGGGTGAGGCGTCAGAAGATAAAGCGGATGGAGGGTGAGCAGCGTACTATTGGAGTGATATGAGCACTCGATGCCTTTGTTCTTTTGGCTTTTGACCAACACCGTTGGAGCTGCAGGGACGCTGTGTAATGCGACAGTTGGAACATGGCGAGCTCTTATCACAACGAATCTGCAACACAAGGCCAAGGGAAGGCCTCTTGTCAGCCAAGCCATAATCTCAATATCATACAAGACGCTTCCTCTGCGACGAAAAAAAAAGGAGGTGTAAGGATACGATAATCTTTGGCTAGTGGGGGTATAGCCAGATATGGCGTCCTTTGGGATTGATGGGGCAGCAAGCACAAGGACGAACGGGGCCACCAACTTTACGGGTGCGACATTGATCACACTAAACGAGGAAGAGCCAACGTCAGTACGTATTTCCAATGGACAATTCTTGACTGGTAAGACGGCGCGACTCAGGACATTCTGGATAAGGAACATACAGCTCGACGAAGGCCCTGGTCCTCGGGGCCCGCGGACCGGGAATCTGACTCCATGTTGGAAAGCGGCAACGACCACACGGCACTGCAGTGTGCTAGACGTGTGTTCTCCGGTGGTATGTGGCAAGGTGTGTCTGTAGGCTGTCGGGTCAGGGCGGCGATTCGCCAAAGTAAGGTCCCAACGAATGCTGCAGGGCCCTGGATGAATAGTCTCGCTAGCCGAGCGGCGCAGGCGAGACCAATGGGTTATTATTGTGTCGTTGATGAGTTCACGGGCCGAGTGCGAGTGAGTAACGACGCGAATGGATGGTGATAATGCAGAGGTAGACGGGGATGGAAGATGTGGAGTGTACGAGGCCGACAGAATGGTTAAGAGCCCAGGCCAAGGACGTTAGATACTGTGCATTATCGAGGGAAGGTCTGTGGGGTGCATGTGCGTGCCGCCTCCTCCCTCTATGTATGGCTGGGTGAGATGATGGATGATGGAAGATGAAGAAGGGTTGCAAACTATGATTTGGTATGTGAACGGCGACAGCGGCAAACGGAGCAACGAGCCCGGGAGACCTGTTTTTTACTCGATTAGGGTGTGGTTATTTCCTCAGTCGACGTGGCTCAAGTAGGGGGATTCATGGGCAATTAAGCCTCGTCAGATGAATGAGTATTGGCGACCAAAGAAGGGACGTGCCTCATACAGAAGCCGACACCGGATTTTAGATACGATGTGATGCCTCTTGGTTTGGGGGTTTGAGTTGAGAAAAAGTAAGATGCATGAGCGAACACCCCTCCTCTACTTTGGCCGAGGGAATGTTAGGTAATATGAGATGAGAAACCTTTGTCCAGGGCCTAGGCGCTTTAGACGTGAGAGCTCAGGCCATCGACCATGGAAACGGACAAGGGCGGAATAATTACAGCGACGGATCGTAGGGGTAAGTATAGCCTCCCTACCAAGCAGTGGAAGGGTACATGGTACCGCTCCAACTAAGGTTGTTCGACTCTCAATGATCCCGAACGTACTCAGAGTTTACTAGGATGGCAGAGTACTGCTGCTGAGCAAATAGTGACAGCTAAAGCAACAGATACCTGACAGGAAGGTTTTGTACTTTGCCTGATATCATAATAGGCTGATCCAATAATCATATACTAGGTAGTACACATGCATAGGATCGATACGCCGTTTTAAATTTGTAATTAGGGTAGCGGGGCTGCATTGCGGTTACTTGGGGCCAAAGCCGAATGATGCAGCAGTATTAGCCCGGTGGGATCATCTTGCTCGGACCATGGTTCTGGTGTTGCAAAATGGGTGTCATTCTGACATGTATTGGATTGATCAGGTATCCATGCTGTCGAGCTCAAAACAGTCGATCGATCGAACGGACATTTGGAAAGCCCTGCTTCTGTCCAGCCTTTTCTTCTCGGTGATTTACTATCCCCATCCACGAGTTGCTTACCTAGTCTAGCAGGGGTTGTATCAAGAGCGCATGAGCTTGACCTCCGTACAGACCTTCGCTCTCGATACAGATGCCTTTTGTGAAAGCTAAGAAGGACGGCGACGACCCTTTTGCAGGACTCCCATAAGACATTTCACCTGAAAACAATACATAGGTCACGTCTTTCGAAGCATCCTGTTTGTAAGTACGTGTGCCTTGACAGTGCCCGGTGGACTTGTTCGGTCCCCTGCGACGCCCGTAGAATTCGCATCCGACTTCGACATGCTCCAGGCTTCTGCTGCTAATGACGCTCAAGTAAGAATAGAAAATGCTATGGGCAATTACAGCCAGATAAGTCAATTGCGTCGGGGAAATGAAGCCCTGCATTGAAAGATCATGCCCTTCCTCTCATCTTCGTCATCTTCGCCATCTTTTAAACTTTCGTCAGTGCTTCAAGCCTCGTCACACTGACCAGACTCCATCGGCTCAGTCGGTAACCCTAGTGGCCGGCTCAATTTCTATCCACCGACCCTGTCAAATCAATCCCACCGGCTGCTTCACTATCTCTTGAGGGAAAGTCATCCAAGGCCGAGATGCCCCGCCATATACGAGGCATTCGCGTCATTGTCTGCTCCTAATACCTGCATTGACGAGTCAGCGGCGAGGACAAGCCAATCGTTCGCTTGAAGCGAAACCCCGCTGCCATGACCGACCTACTAAACGACGCTGTCCCTAGCGCCCATGTCGAAACTCTCTCCGTCAAAAGGTGTTCCTCGTACGTCGTTCAGCGGTGTCTGCCGAGGTCCAGTCAGCCCGTGCGCTGGTGCAGAGTGAACCCTCTCCCACGCAAGTGGAAAATGAAACGGGTATGGAGGGTATGGAGGTAGTTGGCATTGTCGCTTTTCCGCGGAGGCCGTTCAAGACGTTGGCTTAGTGTAACCCGGCTTCTGTCGTCGTTCCATAATTAGAAAAGCCTGCGCCAGAACGGCCCGAGTCTTCGGCCAAGAGTGTGAGGAACACCTCGGGAGCCGCCTGTTGGCTCGACCCCAGTTCGGCGGCGGTGGGCCCACCAGACGGTGACCAGGAGAATGTGTCACTGTTGGTGGACATAGCCTTTGGCCAATTCTTAACGAAATTCAATAACTTAGCGAGGAGCTCAACGAGCCCGAGCACCTATCGAGATGAGGTGAACCGATCCACGTATATTGTCACTCAGTCCCTTTTCCGGATCATGCTGCTTCTCAAATTCATTCATCCCCTTCAGGCTGTGCTACATTTTCATCATCGTTGGCAAGCTCGTAATCAGGTACCTTACGGAAGGCGAGTGAATAACATGGCTCATAGGCCCAATATCGATGCCCACGCGTCCTCGTACAGCTTCTGGTTGCTGGTAGGGTCATGCGCGCAATCCGGGCCCCTAGCGTAGACATTCTCCCGCCAGAAATTGCGCCAGGAGGCCATTATATTTGACCTTCCCGTATCTGCTTTCATCACTGGTTGGTCCACAATGAATCGGAGCCTCATTGACCGGAGCATCAGTGAGGGAGTAAGTCTCATCACACAGGTACAATACTGTCAAAAGGCCAATAGAGATAGATGTCCAAGAGCCACAACAGCTGCCAGGCTCACATAGGGACTGATATCACGAGGCCAGCAGAAATTTCCCGGAACCACAGACTATCCGGATCCTATATGCAGGGCCCTGAGCCCTATGGGAACCAGTGTAGCACCGGGGGTTGAATATCCATAGAGGAGAAGTGGCACCTGGTTGAGGGACCCTTCAAGCTGTGACAGTCCTTGCATATGATTTCACCTAAAGCTAACATATGTACATCCCCTACCTGGTTAAGATCAACCGTTGGGGCCTCCTGTCTAGCTGAAAAAGTTGTAACCCATCTTACCATGATTGACCTATGCTCCTTTTGCCTGCCCTTTCTAACCCCATCATTGCAAGTGACAAAACAAGGGTGATAATCATCAAAGAGAGGATGTGAGGGTTAAAGAAAGAGGTGCGGATATTTCTGTCTCAGAAACAACGGTTCATCATGGGTAAGAACGTCGTATCGAGGCACCAAAGTTTACTTCCTAATAAAGCGGCTAGCGACCTGGATCTTCTGGCCGAAGATAACGGGCTAGAAACCTTGATAACGTGGCTATCGGGAGGGAATGATGGAGACTGCTTACATGTTATCAACGGCGAGATAGTCAGAAAGCAACGTTATGATGGATGCCAGGCCAAGTTCTGGAGCAGGGAGGCCACGCGCAACTCATGACAATGTACAGCACATACGGGCATCTAGTGCGAAACTAAGCTCTTGGAAGCATGTAAGCAAGGAATATGGACCGACGAACTGCAAGTGGTTTAATTACCCTAGAACAAGATTGTGGTTGAAAAGGGATGTCGAGTGCAGATTGATATTGCCAATTTGGTCGCAAAAGGCATGTGGAAATGAACACTGGGCGTATGAGTTAAGGTCTATTCAAGTGTACATGATTGTTCCTCGACGGGAAAAAGCTTTAGGAAATCCGGGCTTCGCATTGGGCCAACGCTGTCAGCCTAACGCCGAGCTGTATTCTGGACATCACAGCTGGGTATACACCCGGCCTTGTTGTCTTTTGTATCTTTGCCCCTTTTGGTGTTTCCCGACTGGCTTAGATACTGCTTTAGTACAAGCTGAAGAATGATGGGGCGGCTTAATATACCAAAAGCAGCAGGCTAGAGACAGAAGCCACAAAGGCTATCCGTAGCGTGTCATTCCATGCTCTTGAGGGCGAAACATTAGAGAAGTAAATAAATTCACCTGCAGGAATTCGCGAAAGTCCAGCAAAAGTCTGCGACGAAGGATGCTTTGGCTTCCCCCAAACTAGCCTATGCCAACCCTGACCATGACTCCAGGCTCTTGGTACAGCGTCTTGTCATTCCTATGAGCAATACGTACCTTCACAAGTCTGTACCGTGTCTAGTGCCATCTTCTGCAGCGGCGAGTCAACGGCCACATTCTTGAAGTCAAATATGAGTAAGGTTTGGCTACCCTGGTGATGCCTGAATGCAAGCACAGAGTCCATCTTCGTACAAGCAAATATCACCAAAGAAAGCAAACTTCATCTTCAGCCTTCGCAAGCCGGCCTCACTTCTGTATGACGAAGCAGAAAACAGTGTAGAGAAAGGGGCAACTGGAGCCGATGGGTCCGTAGCATAGTATGTCTTGGAACTCTCGTAAAGCAACGTCCCCATGTCAATGTGCTCAAGGAAGTCGGCCCTGTGGTACTTATAAATATATTTCGGAGACAACAACCAATTGCTGACATGCTGCCGATGGTAAGAGGGCAGTCTACAGAATTTTGGAGAAGTGGTATCGGCATGCGGTAAAACGAAGTTTCTAGGTTCCCACGAATGGGAGGATCGACTTTGGTGGAGGTTCCGTTGAAAGCCAGAATCTTGCCCAACGGTCTAAACACGCGCTGTTAAAGGCGAAGACTTCGACGATCGGGTGGGCAGAGACAGCAATCGCCGTTGCTTGAGCCCTCATTCGATAGTTTATACTTTTTTTTATTTTTTTTATGAAGTCACCTCAGCCCTGGACACACAGCCTAAGAAGGCTCTGGATCAGGCGGCTAATGGGCGCACAACCATACCAGTTGCCCGTTGTCTGTCAACAATTGAAGATGCCGATGTTGATCTTTGCGTGTATTCCCCTGGACGAAAAATTGAGAGTTGAAGATATCAACAGCTGTTACTGAAGGACATGCACTACGACGCGTGCTTGTGTCCGTCCTCTGACAGAGCAATCTGATTTTTGGTGGCTGGTACTTTTCAAGCTCGGAGACAACTGAAATTGCAATGAGCCCGACCAACGGGGTAGAGCCCGTGCATGGAACCTGGTTGCTTATCCATGCACCAATTCTTATCTTATCAGTGACCGCATTCTTGAACCGCCGCAACTCTCCCCAAGTCTGTAAACGCAGCTTCACATTTGATTTTTGGCCACGGCGCCTCCGCCGCCACCGAGTAATCCCCTCTTGGTCGCGACTTTCACGAGACAGCTGTCGCCTCAGAAATTTCGACAATTTGGCGAACGGTGTAGGGCGGGTTATTGTGAGAGTACTCATCCAAGTTGAATGATGCAGCGAAAGAGGCATCATCCCCCTGCCAGCCCAGGCGAGCCGCTGTTCGTTGCCAAACGGGCGCGCCTTACCGCCTCGCAGCGAAACGAAGCGAAGTCGGAAGCCGAAAGAAAGCTCATCTTTGCAGACGACGACCTCCTCTCATCTCTTTCAGATGAACTACTGCTACGCATATTGTCTTTCTTGCCAACCTCAAATCTCCTGGGCATAGCACCCGTGTCCCGCCGCTTCTACCGCCTTTCCTCCGATTCCCAATTATGGCGGACACTGTACTATCACCGTTTTGTCTTGCCCCGCGCCTTGCGAATACCCGGATTCCGCGATGGCTCTGCTCGAGAAAGCACCCGAATACATTACTCCGCCAGGCGAACGGTCTGGGCCGACGGCGGCTGGGGCCGGAGAGGCGGCTCTGGAGAGTTTGTGGACTGGAAGCGTCAGTACAAGCTGCGCCATAACTGGGCCAGTGGGAAAGCATCGGTCGAAGAGCTCAAGGTTGGAGAAGCTCCCTCTGTTTTTTCGGAGCCGCGGAAGACGCTCGCAAAAGTGGTGGAAGGCATCGCCATAACCGCCGATAGTGTTTCTGGCCTGCGGGCGTGGGATCTCAAGATCAGAGAACCCATCGCCCAGATAGGGCTCGCAGAGGGATCGGGCAAGACGATGCCTACATGTTTGGCTGTAGACGACCAAGCTTTCGAGAGCAAGAGGCTCGATGTCTCGGTTGGTTTCCTAGATGGCAGTTTTGGCGCCTGGAGACTTGACCTAGAAGATGGCAGATTTCTGAGGCGGTACAGGCATGAAAAGTCCAGCAACGGCCGGCTGGTTGAGATCGCCTACCGCCATCCATTTCTTTTGACGGCAACAGAATCAGTTCTTATATCTTTGTACAACTTCGAGCGGCCGGCATCGACGGATCGCTCAGCGTTCCCAAGACAACACAGCGAGACAGCCAACCCCGAAGAAAGCGAAACAGACGCTGGTTCAGAAAGTGCAACTCTCCAGGAATCAGAAAGCGACACAGAAGAATTTCCCTTCCTGAAAGCTGGAAAGAGGCGAAACAATCCACACGCCGTCGTCTCGCTGCCCGCTCCAATCCTGCTAACGTCTCTCAAATCGCACACGTCGCGAGCGCCGTTGGCTTTGTCGATTCGTCAAATGGCTTCGTATATAATTGCATCCATCGCCTACACATTCTCTACGTTGGAGGGATGGTCTATTGGGATACAGGATCTTCAGATACGGCGCCAGGGCGCAGGTGGGCTGACCTCGTCCTCGATTGTGTCAACTCGTTTGGCCTTCACCGAACCTGTCAAGGCTTCAAGTCTGAGTTCCTCGACGCCCTCGGCAGATGTCCAACAACCACATGCTTCAGCGCTAGGCTCCGATGGCCCGAGGACACTGTGTTACAACCACCCGTATCTCCTCGCCACGATGGCCGACAACACCCTGCTTCTACATGTATGTACATCAAATGCGACAAAGCTTAATGTATCTCCAGGCATCCGTCTATGGGGCCACACATCAGGCATCAGCGACGCGGAAATCACTGCACGGGGCAAGGCTGTGAGTGTCAGCTGCCGGGGCGAAGAGATCCGAGTCTGGGAGCTCGAAGGACGCGTCAGTGGCAAAAGTATCGAGATACGACCGAGTTCGACCGCAAACGAGCCAGAAGTGCCACCGGCTCGCTGGGACGACCGGCGCAACTGGGTGGGCTTCGACGATGAGATGATCATCGTGTTGAAAGAAACCAAGGATGGCAGAGAGAGCCTCGTGGTGTACGACTTCTCATGAAAGCCGCCGGCGAGGAGTCACAGTGGCGACAGTGTGCCTTAGGCTATCAACGCGCAAGACTCAGACGTGTGACTAGGCAGCCGCCACGGCAATTCGGTCTAGATATTCCCAATGCCTAGAACCTCTGCGTGCGTAATCAGGCTATAGGTTGACCACCTTGCATACATGAACATGAGGGGATCAGATCGAGACGTTAGACGATTCATGGTCCTGCCATCGCCTGGTAAGAGGAGCCCCACCTTGAGAGGCTCCGGCGGGCACCACAGTCTCTACTAGACAGACAGAGATCGCAAATCTCTTTTTGTTGATGGAACTCTGGCTGATTATACTTGGATCGGAGACCTTCTGCCGGGTCGTCAACCTCTACCTTGATATGCAGACTACGCAAGCCAGTCAGATAGAAATCGTTAATCGTTCGTTTGGGTTCTGCTTATCCTGAGAAGCAGAACCACAATCATGTAGGCAATGGATTTCAACGGTATTGACAGGAAGCGGCAGCTTCCAGCCTGGCGTATCCCTTCGTTGTCTTTGGGCGTGGCCGCAGCCACAACGCACTCTTTTCTGTTAAGTCTCGGGTTTCGAGGACGGCCAGAAAGGTCCTGGTGCTGACGAAGGACTCGTTGCAGTCCCCAAGATAAGCAAAAGACTGTTGATGCCTACAGCTCTGATCACCGGGCCTTGTTATTCAGCCAAGCTCACGACAGGCGTCACGAACCAATGAGAAGCGGCCGGCACTGTCAACAAGTCTTCCAGCCACTGTCCGGAGCATCGTGAGGCACAAGTCCTCGGGTTGAAAGCAAGGTTCAGGCCAAGACGCATTAGGTATCGAGGCCCAAAACAGCCTTATGAACAAGCCATTACCTGCACCTATATACGCACCCCCTTCAGGGACATGGCGTTGAGGATGTGCTTGGAGTTTGTGCAATTGATTATACTCGTGGGTGCCTACAATCGAGTCCACGTCGCCCAGCATACGCATGGAGAAGAATGGACTAAAAATTCGGAGTAACAATTGGGGGGTTGGGATGCTAATCAGACTCAGCAGAATACCTGGGCCGACAAGTTGGAGGCAAGGCATGAAGCTTGTGGCCCGGAAGTGCGCATCGCTGCGGTGGCTTGGCTGCTCAGCGGGTAGCGAGATTGCGCTGGACGAGGTTATTTATGCATTATCTACGCTGCTACTACACTGACAGTCGCGTTGTGGGCACAATGCACGGGTTCAGGAACATTCAAGATGCCTGATTGGTTTGTTATTTGTTATTGTTCATGAACAAACATGTATAATGGACGAATTAAAGGCGTCGGTATAACGACGTCCTTCTTTTTAATCGTGTTTACGTGACAGTCTGGGAATAGTTGACAGAAGTCTATTTTCCATTGACCACAAACCCTTTGTGTCCCCGAACTTGCGGCGATGTGAGGGGGGGAGGCATTATTGTGAGCGTTGTCGCATCTTGCGGAATCAGGTTCCTTCTGACTTGGTGTCAAGTAACTTGATTAAACTCCGGATGATCGATGCCGTTACTGCACATGCTGGCTGGGATGGACTAAAGCGACGAAGACGTGATGTGATTGATAAGATTAGATCTGTTAACATAGGTATCGGCAGCCAAGACATTCTCCATGGGACGATGTATTGTTCACTTATCCAACGTTCCAGTGCGACACCACTTCAGATATCAGAGAAGTCGCACGTTGTCATCAAACAGACCCGGGAGACTATCAATTGTTCAAAAGTGTGCAGGGCAATCAATGGTCAACGTGAAGGATCATGTCGAATCATTCTCATTAACCAGCCACTAAACTTGCCATTCATAATCCACACTGGAAGAGACGAAAAGGGGGTGTGAGCACAGTATACGATCCCCAGTCCGCTGTCCTACCTACCCTGTCGTCGCTGAGGAATCCAGGCCCCCCGTCGGCCCCCCCCCCCCCCCCCCCCCCCCCCCCAACTGAGCCTTCGTCCGTGCGTGCTGGATCAGGCAGGCCGTTTCGTCTGCGAATGGTGCGTTAGAGGGCGGCAAGGGGCGCGGGGCACACCTTTACATGTGAGAATGCCCCTCACTCTGAGAGCACTCGTGAGGATAAGATAGCCAGAAAGGAGGGGTGATAAGGGACCAGCATGTCGCTATCGCCGCTTCTCTCAGAGGCGATTGGGGTGGGCAGAGCCATTGACCAAAGACAGGCCGTTGATGGGTAGATCCGGATCTAGAACTTGACGCCGGGCTAAGGCGAGGCGAAGAAGAAAAGGAACAGACGGATAGGCTGCCTGGAAAGGGCCTGCTCATCAACAAGTGTTGATGCAGTTCGGTTCGAGACCAAAATGGTGCGTATCGCGCGTCTCATCAATATTGCAATGCCCGCGGCCGAGACGAGAAGCGAGAGCAAGCCAACAACTCAACCCCATTCCCATTGACCGCCATCTTTCCCTTACCCCTCTCTTTGCTCCCCTCTTCTCGGCGTAATCGCACAAGAAGTCAGCTATTGCCCCTTGCCTTGTGGCATTTCTCGCTCTCATTGACAGACGCCAGGAGGGTGTCGCGAAGTGGATTATTGATATCACAGTCGCATAGTAGAGCACCGTATGAAGGGACTGAGTATGAGTGAGAGGGGCGGTCGGGTTGAATTGACATATTTGACATCCGATGAGAGAAGGGGAGGACATGTAGGTGGCTTCAGTGAGTGAGAGCGACTCCGAATACTGTATCATCCCCACCCAAGCAAACACACCACACCACAGTACAATTGCTACGTTCCCATTTAATTTCGGGGAGGCAAAAGGATTCGATTGCAAGACAAGGTATGGAAATCTGGTCTCACCTGAGATGTGCCCCCGTGATCAGCTCACTCACGCAACGGTGGGATGACCGGCTCGTCGAGGGAACACCATGACGACAAAGCGGCGGGAAGCCACCAAGAGGTGGACTCTGGAGTTGGAGAGACGGATTCAGCGCCAGAGCGCGCCGTTGGTGCCGTCTCGAAGCCCCCCGCGCGCAGCTCACAGCGGCGCGGCCTTTCCAACCCCACGAGACCACCACCACCACCTCTAGGTTCCGTAGTGATAAGAAGGGGGCTTGGGGGTGGTCATGTGGCTGGCTTTCTCGCCTGGAAGGGTGTGGTCGTTGACCATCGAACTGACACTGTCTTTCCGCCAGATTGAGACTGACATGAGGGAACACCCCAAGAAGCCCACCGTAAGTTGGTCACTTGCTGAATTTCGTTACATTTCTTCATCGTCCCAACATGTGTAGATCGCAGGTGGCTGCGAGGATGAACCCGACCACGACCAACCACCTGAGAGAGCTCGGTGATGTGCTATGCTGCGGCTGCTACTGATAGCGCCCGCTCCCGCTATCGATAAGTTTCCGTCAACAGCCGATTTGATAAGACACAGTGCGCGAGCCTCGGTTAGTGATGACAACCGCCCATCCAAGGGGACACGCATTCTGGGAAGTTGCTTCGGCCGCTGCCAGCGTTCTGCTTTCTAGACGGTCTGTTCTGAGTTTCGTTGCTTTTGCTACCCGCGAGAACCGCGCCTCGGAACCCCAGTAGAGCAGGCAATAAGCAATGATTACGTGTCGATGGTGCAGTTGCCGAGAGCTCCTTGTTCATTGGTGTGAAGCGCCCTGTACTCCCGTACGCCGGTTGCCCTAAATGCGATGAATGGGGGCTGTCAACTTGTCACAGAAGGCGAAAAGGGAACCTTCGATATAGTCCACGTCCTCGTAACGCATTGGCGGTTTAAGACAGGGGTTGGCCAGGTTTCTCTCTCATTTGGCGGCGAATAAGCCGTGTACTGATTCCCGCGCAAGCCCCCAATAATTCGATATCAAGAAGCTAAAAGCTCTCGGACTCGGGACTTGCCAGCCTGCGGTTGAGCGAAGACGAAATATGACGACGCAATCCGCAGCCAGCGTGCAGTAGGCTGCTCGATCAACAGAAAATGGCGTGCAATGCATGCTGAGAGCCGCGCGCCTTCGGAGCGAATGCCTTAAGCTTTCTGATAGTCTTGTTTCTAGAATCGCCATCATGTGTCCAAGAACTAGTATATTGGACTGTGTTTCGGCTAATAGCGTACGGGCCCCGAGGGGTTCGACTGAGCATATGCTATTGCAATCCATTGGTCTCCGCAGACCAATTACGCTGAACGTGCTCTCTCTGTGTGTGCTGCTCAGAGGAGAGTCAACTACCTTCGGGCAAGCCAAAAAGCAAGCCATGCGCCTTGGGTGTCACCCATTCCGGCTGGTTCGGGCACTATAGGCAGGAATGGTAATTGCACTTTGTTCCTTGGACGCCGCGGCGCTTTGAGCAGTTGCACCGACGGGACAAGTCCTCTGTGCTTCGCCTCCGTCTTACCAATTGAGTCAGCCAGGTAGTCAATGATGAACCCACCGATTCAAGGCGGTGCCGCTCGTTCATCCGGAAAGTTCGGGATGTCAGAGACTTCCCTTGCCCCATTCCGTGTTCAGGCTTACCGAAGTCTAACATGCAGTCATTCCAATGGTGATGACGACGATGCCATGACCGTCATAAGACTGGCAGTGAGTGCCCTGCCGTTGTGCCATTGGAGCGTAAAGTCCGCGAAGTCCGAGCAGCCCAGGTTCGGCACCCAGCTGGCAGTGAGTGAGCCTGGCGTGTTGAATGCCAGACAGCACAAGGTGGCGCGGGAAGAGGGTGAAATCGCATCTGCAAGCTGGAAACCCGCATGCCCTCACCCAGGCCCGCTCCTATTGGTTGCTGGGACCCCCTTCAGCAGCGGGACGCATGTCCCTCGAGTGGGAAGGGCCAGAAGACCCAAATCTAGTTGACTCTGCTGCTGCCACCATTTTTTGCATGTCAGATTGACGCTGGGACTGAGCCGGCGGCTGGAGAAATGATTACAAAGGAGCCATGGCAGTTGTGGCTGTGTCGTTGTTAGATAGTCTCCCCGCTAACGAAAGAGCGGAAGATGACAGAAGAGAATGTTTGGTGGAAGCGCCGAGTTGTTGCGAGTGAGATGA